CTACACCCCAGTTCTTGTATGCATAAATAAATAAAAATAAATCTTTAAAAAAAGAACCAAGTTGACCAATTGTTAAATTTCCAGGAAACCAATGATCTGGCTGTTAAAAATAAACTTTATTAAAAAATAAGTTATGCAGGGGCCTCCCTGGTGGCCCAAGGGGTTAAGCGTCAGCACTGTGATGCAATCTGCAGCCAATGCAGCACGAGTTCGATCCCCAGCCAGGGAGGTGACCCCCATGGCTCAGCAGACCTCTCCTATCTTGCCCACAGCTCCCCTCAGGAGTGTATTTTAGTCAATCCACCTGTTCTGCTCCCCACTCTTTGTCTCTGGTGAATCCTCTCACCCCCCCGCATCTCCGACCTGTACCCCAGTTCTTGTATGAATAAATAAATAAAAATCTTTAAAAAATTAATTATGCAAACATACACTGAAATTAATCATCCTTAAAACAAGTAAATAAAGACCTAAAACTCATAACTTCCTAATTATTTTATTATTTTACTAGTATCTATAATTCTGAGGTTACTGATTTCTTATATCTATATCATAGAAATACTACAGTATACAGTACTATGTTAAATTATCCCATATTATATTAGTTATATTACATTGTGATGTTATATATTATATTGTATTGTATGTTGTTTATTGTATCATATTGTATTATGTCATGCTGCATTACACTGCTTACTTATTACAGAACTGAGGTCCTCACATCTTTGTCATGTCCGTGGCTTATAATTAGTCACGGTGAGGATACGTATTTACATCATGGAGATCAGTAAACATTAAAATAGTGCTTATTTTTGCTCTGGAAAACCACTTATTAAACATTTTCCAGCACATTCTGAACCTAATATGAAAGTGCAGAGGGCCCTAGGGATTGCAATTCAATTGCTACTGCAGGTGAGACAGGGTGTGGACACTGCCAACTCCAGGCACCTGCTCTACTAGTGGCTGGTCAACTCCAGCATTTTTTCTGTGTAAAGAAAACTTGAGCCCAGGGTTGCCAGATTTTCTGATTTTTCTGAAGAAAAATTCTGATTTTTGTGTAAAATATTCCTATTCAGTACATAACATGGAGTACGATGGGTGTCTTGGTGATGTGTGTGGTGTGGTAACCATATCTGAAGAGATGGCTTCCTATATTTCTGAATCATATCCATTGTTATAAGTCAATGGAACATATTAAAGCATTACTAATAAATAAATACTTTTAAAATTAAATTTTAAGATTTATATATATCAACTAAATGAAAAAATAGCGAAACAAAATAAATGTTTATAAAGATGAGTTCCAAATCAGATCCAGTTTCCTCATTTCACAGAGAGGAAAGTGAGATCTCATCTCTGAGCTCATGCTCAGGGCAAGGCAGGAGCTGTCTCCTCTCATGTGGGGCCAACTCTCTGGGTCTTCATGATCAAAATTAGATCGACTGACTTTCCTTCACTTCACTGCATTCCTTGGATTTTCATTATGCAACCTAACAGAATTTTTTGGTTTCTTTTTTATTGTTCTGGAAAAAAAAAGTCCACAATTTTTAAAATTTTACCTAAAATTTTGAAAGGGTAGGCTGGGCTTCAGTGTACGCTGGTTCATAATAAAGCTTAAGGTTGCTGGGGGGTGGGTGCGGAATAGTCCATATTAGCAGCTGGGCATGCTTCTGAATGACAAGGAGAATAGAACAATTAAGTTGGAGACTGTGCGTGGATCCCTATTTGGAAAATATCCTAAATGGCAAGGAGTTTGATTTAGAGCATTTATAAAGCATGCATTACACAAGTGTGGTCGTGGATATTTACGTGGAAAAACTATACAGAGATTCTCAATTATCCTTTCCCTTTTCCAAGTGTAGTCTAATCCTATATATATATATATACCTACATTGATTTCTTCGCACTTAAAATTATAGAACAGAAACTATTTTGTCTTTTCTTTTTTTTAAGATTTATTTTTATTTATGCATATAAGAACTGGGGTGTAGGCCAGAGGTACAGGCAGTGAAAGGATTCACCAGAGACAGAGTGGGTAGCAAAACAGGCGGATTGACTAAAATACACTGAAAGGGGAGCAGCGGGGCAAGACAGGAGAAGTCTACAGCGCCATGTTAGCTCCCTGGCCGGATCAAACTCATGCTCCAGTGGCTGGTGATAGCTTGATAGTTTGATAGCGCTGAGACTTTACCCCTGCACCACCAGAGAGCCCCCTATTTTGTCTTTTCTTAAGCATCTTGCACATTGTTTCATAGACATCACAGTGGTATTTTTAATCACTCCATATTATTAATTTAAGACCAGAATTTCCTACTTTATTATTGAACATTTATTTTCAAACTTTGGACTATTATAAATACCAGCAATAAATATTTTTATGCATTTAATTTTTCCTTTACAATAAAAATTATACTATTCTTAGAGTTGAATTATTGAATCAAAGCATATAAATTGTCTTCAAAGCTCTTGAAATTGATTTCCAAATTCGTTTTAAAGATATTTATAGCAAAGTATAAATGTTTCCATTTCATGTCCTTAACAGCATTGGGTACTAAGAGTTTTTATTTCCTCGTTTAATATGTATAAAATGGTAGTTATGAAAAAACAAAAATAGAAAAAAAGCATTAAATGGTAGTTACCATTTTAATTAATATCTTGTTATTAACTCTAGATAATTTCTTTTAATTTGCTTGTTAATGATGTCCTCCTTTGGGTATATATCCTATTCATATCAGCTTTAGCTTTCAAGTTCTTATTCTAGTAAACTAATCAAATATAGACACTCCTGGGAAGGCAGGTTTATAAAGCAACCAGCTAAGTGTTTGTGAGTCAACTAAAATGAGTTTTTGTCATTCTACTTATTAAACTCCAATGAATCAGAATGAGGTAGATGTATTTGCTTTTCCTCAACCTGTTCAATTACTTTTTAATTCCTTTCCTAATATGTCCTCTTCCAAAATCCCCTCTGTCCCCTCAGGGCCACTCAATATCCAGCCTTTCCTTCCCTCCAGACTCTCACTTTCCTAGTAACAAAATAAAGTTTCTAATATTGAGAAGCAGAGGGAGCACAAAAATACATTGCCTTTGTTTCATCCGGGAAGGTGAGGTAATATTGATTTATAACACTGCATGTTTTAGTTGTATAAGTTCAGTGTGATTTAAAAGTTCTTAGCTAAATATAATGCTTCATTATATATGAACCTCCTTGTGTAAGCATCTTTACATCTCTCACCTTGTGTTTTCTATTTCATTCTTCATTTTATTAATGTGTGTGTGTGTGTGTGTGTCTTTTTATTCTGTTTTAAAGCAGGGGTTTTCACACTAGGGTGCCCATGCTTCAGGAATGTATAATGTGCCACTCAAGGTCCACACAAGCTGTGGAAGGAACATGTTTCTCCATAAACCATTTCTGGGTCTTGACTGCTTTTGACTTTTTTCCTAAAATTGATCCACCTGAAAATGTGCCTGCATCTCCTCATTCTTATTACGTATTTTGCCCAGTATAACTCTCCCTAAGAGACTATTACAAATATCATTGTCGAGATAGTGGATGACTTTAAATAGCACATCCTTTCCTGAATGAGGTGACTTACTATTTTTTTGCTTTCAACAAAATTGAAGAACCCAATTAAATTGTAAGGTTACAAACTGTTAGGAGTATTGGTTATGATAGATAATAAAGTGAATTTTGGAAAATAAAGGAACTTAAACTATTAAGTTATGATGCTGAAACACCTTTCTTCAAATTCCGTGTATTTAATAAGTATGACCAGTTTTTCAATATTTTCATTTATGAAAGTAAAAAAGGAATATAATTTAGGCCATATCTAGTTTATTTCTAGCAATAAGTAATATCCATTTGCATATGCATGAAATAATTGGGGGAAATGTACCATCACTTCATTAAGAAATACATTTCCAATACAAACTTACTCATAATTTTTAAGCATTTATCAAGAATCGTGTTATGTTTTGCCGCATTTATAAGTCATATAAACTAAAATAGCTAATTTCAACATATATGTATATCCTTGCAAAGAAGTGTGATGGGGTGATAAAATTCTATGAAGGAAATAAAATGAAAATGTATGTTCAAAGAAAACAAGGAATGATACAATTTTCTGATTTTTAAAGGGGCGCTTACTCATATTTTAAAATACATCGTGTGGCTATTTAGATTCATCAGGTACATCTGGAAAAGCAATATAAATTTTATTTTAAATTATCAATATTTAGGTAATTTAAAAATTTATGATGAAAAATTATAGATGTCTACTTGAATATGTTTGAGGCAGTTCTTAGATTTTAAAAATTCTTTGAGAGGGTGTATAAATCATGTAATTTGGGGGGGGCGGAATAAATGAAATATAAATTAACTCAAAAATAAGTAAATATGGGACATGTCACTATGCATCAGCAGGGCTGTCAGGTAAGAACAGGTGTGGGTGCTTTCAAATACTGCCAACAGCAATTTCATAGACGCTCTGTTTTCAGTGTTCTTGAAATTCTTAATTAAGATTTATTCTTTCCAATCTCATGGAGAGGTATGCTTCTGAAAAAGTACATCATGATGTGACATTTACCAAATGAGCTCGCAAATTTTCCTGAGTTTTTACCCAAAGTTACATTCCTATTTTTCTTAAAATAATAACTAACTAGCTTTTATTAAATGTCTACTATTTTCCAAATGGTTCTCCTGAGAAATTGTTATAAATGAAAATTCTCATATCCCAAACATATTGAATCAGAAACTCTGGGCATAATTAGGTGATTCAGAAGCTTGTCAAAGAAAATACTGTTTACAAAACATCTGGCAAGTGGCCTTGAACATAGTAGGCATATAATAAAAATGAGCTGCTATTACTTTTTCAGTAGCTCCTTGAAAGAGGTTTTCTAGTTTATTCTAGATCCTTGAAAGAAAGAGTTCTATATGTTCAATTATTCACAGGCTATAAGGACATAACATATTTAAAATCAAACTCATTGTTTCCTACCCAAAACAGATGTCTGCCTTCAACGTCCCCATTTCCATCAATGACAAAAATAAATACATAAATCTGAATGTTTCAAATAGAAACTGACCTATTGAAAGACCATACTGGGTGATGTCAGGTGCCTCTAATCCTGGACATATTTCTTCTACCAGCTGCTTCAGTATATGAAGTTCACACCCTCAAATTCACTTTTCTGAGGTAAGAAATCACATCCACAAGTCTCATGTTAAAATTTACATCTGTTTTGGGGAAAAGACATTTATTAATGCAAAAGCATATCAGAAACTAGAGTAACCAGATCTCTCCTGGCAAACCCGCCCTCCCCCCTCCACGGTCTGTGTTATCACTGCTGCTGCTGGCAGAGATGATGACAGGAATGTTTTGCTAAAAGGAAGAGCTGAGAAAAACTCCAACCAGCACCTACTGCATGGGCCACAGAGAAGAGCTGTGCTTTTATAGACATTCTGCTTCCACACTTGGATTATCTCCAGGAAATATATATCTGGGACCAAAGTGAGTTAGGGAGATGAGTCAGCAGCTTGCCAAGTTCCCAGACCCAGGGAGTAACAGGCTTCACTGCCACATCAGGACTGGCAGAGGCCACCTGCCACTCTGCCTTCATCCCAGGGAAGTTTATGTAAAATTTGCTTCACCTACGTCACGTCAGGTCAGTCAGTTGTCAAGTCCTTCCATTTTTCCTTTGGATTCTTCTTCATTTCATTGCCATCCTTCAAATTCTAGAAACTACTGTCAGGATTCTACCTCTCATCTCAGTCTGCACCCATTCTTTCTATGCATTTTGTCTTTGTAACACTCTATTTTCGTCGGTTTACAATTTTGCAAAAATTTTGATTTCATACTGGCTTAGTGCAGAAGTAGTTTTATTTCAGCGACTCCAAGAATCACATAGGTAGCATGTTTAATGCAGATTCCTAGACCATATTTTCTGGGGTTCTGATTTAGTTGATATGGGTTGGGGTCCAAGGATCTAAATTTTGGTAGTGTCCACCCAGATGGTAGTAACCAAGTTTTCCTTGTCTAAAATCCATATCCTGAAAAACATCAGTGTGTTTTATCTAAATTCAAAATCATTTAAGGTGCTCCAAAATTTAATTTATCTGGCTTACCCTTATATAATAAAAGTTAAATGAAGGCAGATCTTTACTTATATGTTATATGAATTGATAAGATGAGCTTTTATATACATAAAACTGATAAGATGAGTTTTTATATACATATTTCAGTGGATACCATGTTGAACATAGAAAGCTAACCTAAATCAAAATATCCAGATGTATATGTATCTCGAAAGCATTTCCCCCCCTTTGGAGAGACAGCAAATAGGAAGCTAGAAAGAGGAAACACTATAGTATGAAAGGGCAGCCCCTGAAATATGAGCACCTACTCCAGAGAGAGGGCCATGAATTTACGACGAGACCTAGATTTGGAGGTAAGTATTTTCTTTACAAAACTCATATATCACAATCCATTCATTGCACAGTCAAAATTAGTTTTGAAAATTTGAAGTCAGTAAAATTTGAAGCAAATAAAACCAAAACATAACATCATTAATTTAAAAAAAAAAATTTACAATGATCTTCTCTTGAATGAGAAAAATTGATAATATATACTTTTTAAATTGATTCCAAAGGCTCATTTTTCTATTATATTCACTCTTAAAAATAATATATGTCCAATAAATAGAAAATGGGCATATCCTGCTTATACAGCAATTTATTTCTGCTACAACCTGTGAGTTGAGTTACACAACATTCACATAGTCTTGTGGATTATTCTTATAAGCTAAGCTAAAGTGCCCAGCCTTCATGGAAGGAGTATGCCAAAAACTGTGTTCCTTATGAACCAACGCTACTGTGTTTTTTTTTTCTTCTTATCACTTTTATCAATTAAAATTGATTGACATGTTGGCGAGCCAGGCACAATTTCTTAGATGTGTCATCCTTGCCAGAATTTTTCTAAAGATTCCAAGGCTCTCAACTACCATTCCCAGTAGACTGTTTCTTCCCAAATTTACCCAAGGCTTTTTATAACATATTTATCCTGTACTTTGAGCTCTATAATTCTATAAAATTTCTAAAACTCTTTCCCCTCCCTCTATTTCGTTGGAGAGGATCTTGGCAAGATTAAACTTGTCGAGCTATTGGTCTTTTGAGCCACAAGGGGGCGCCCGTCACGCAGAAATGGCTTGGAACTGGCCTCTCGAAGCCCCCCATTATAAGCTCAAAATGATGTTCTCTTTCAACACCAATTCAAAAGTCTGCCCTAATTCCTGTCAGGTTAGGTTCTTCAATTAAATGAATTCCTATCCTAGAGGAAAGGGGTTTTCTGGGGCCTATTTTACACTGCTGAAAGTCAGAAAGAGAAAAAAATGACTGTCCTTGAATTTGGACCTTGAAACAAGCAGTCTAGAAAGACTGTCACTCAAAGTGGTCAAAGGGCCAGCAGCATAATCAGCTAGGAGTTAGTTATCAGTGTAGAAGCTCAGGTCCCACCCCAGGCTTTCTGAATCAAAACCTGCTTTTTGACAAGATCCTCAGGTGATTTGAATTTAGAGAAGCACTGCTCTAGATTACTGAGCCACCCGGTGACTGTTACCTTAAACATTTCTGCCTTCATTCTCCCTCTCCTACATCACCCCCACCCCACCCCCAAGAGAACACAGAATTGACTTTACCTTTCCACTTCCCTTGATCTGCAGAGATACATGATAAGAATTTTTTTTAGTGAGAATGGTTTTTATTTTTAAAGCAGTTTTTTCCCTGAGGCTATTCCGTGGGATTATTAAAAATGCAATTTAAATGTTCTACTTAGTGACAAACGACCAATCATCCCAAGATTAAGAAATTTTTCTGACAGTCATGGACTGGGGCTAAATGGTGTCTGAATGGCTGTGTGTTCAGTCAGTTCAGGCAGAAAAATCTATACATTGAGTCAGAAGTGTCAATCTGGTAGCTCTCTGAAGTATAGTCCTTAACCTTCTCTTGTTTTGGTCAGAACAGCTTCTTATGACAATGACCCATTTGTCTGTTCTCACAAGACTGCCTTCCTGGGGGAAATCAGACTGCAGCACATAAAGGACCAGCTTTTAATTTATCTTCTCTTTCTTTCTACTTGTCCAAAACACAAACACACACACACACTTCTTTCCTCTTGAGCTAAATGTAACTTCAGCACTTCTCTTGCCTTAATGTGTTTTTCTAATTAGCTCTAACATTAAAACCAGCTGCTACTGCAGTGTTTCTTACTTTTATAAAGCATTAGAAGATTAATTGACTCATTATGTGGAAACAGGAGGATATAAATTTAGGGGAGCTTTTTGTTTAACTTGGGTTATAAATTGCAGCTCATTTTCTTTATTTATGTTTTCTTTACCCTTTACATCTCCCATAACTAAGAGATTTTTGTTTTGGTTTTAGTCTTATAGATGATCACTTCTTTTGTTTCCTTAACATGAAATCATTTCTAGATACTGGCTACTGAGTCAAGACAAAAGCTTAAAAGTTGTAAAAATGCTTATATAGTTTCTGCTTGTCAAACAGGACTATATTGGGAGCCTGAGGGACATGCTATATTAACTAGCTTTAGGTTTCAATCCTAATCCATAGGTCTGTATTAACTAACTTTAAATTTGTGGGAAGTTCTCTAACCTCTCTGGGTGATTTTCCTTATATGTCAAATGGAGCTAAAATCAGTTCTCTTCAGGCAACAAATAACTGTAACCATAACATGAGATAATGTATGATAATATGATTTATTTTAAATGTACTATACACATAACATGCATAACTTTCATTTAACTCTCCTTATTCCATTATTGAATTATATCTACATATATGCCACATGTATTATATCCAGACATTAATTAGCCTAAGTAGGGAAACTTTTCTGACCTGACCCTTCTAAATCCTAGAATCTTGACTAAAACAGCTATGTGGGATTCCTATAGGAAAAATTTCTATTTTTTTCAGCAAAAGTTAAGAGTTTTCTTTAACTCAAGACTACACAGAGGCAATAAAAATTTAGATGAGAATTGGTCACTATTGAAAGAAAACTTATGAAGGCTTTGTGTATAAATATGTACATTTTTAACATATATGCATTAAATTTCACACAATACTACAAAGTTGTTAACATCAATTTCCCTTTTAATCAGGAACTAGTGGAATCTTCCGTGAGGTGTAACAAAGAAATGTGTCGATCTCAGCCTGGCTTCAATTCTCTGGTGGTGTCATTTAGGTTCTCTCAGCCCATGGACCTGATCTATATGATCCAACTATGTTTACATTCTCAACCATTCTCTGTTGCTGCAGTTCTGACTTTGAGTATATACTAATCAAACTCGCTTCTAAGGAGTTTGATATACTAATCAAACTCGCTTTGAAGGATTTGCTTCATCCCAAATGCAGGCTGTGATTTACTGAGGATCTGGGAAGTGGCATTTCTGACTGTGTGGCAGTGTCCTGTCATCTGTGTTCCTATAGCCTGCCAAGTGCTGTCCAGATAAAGGAGGCTGCATTTTTAGCAGGAGGGAGTCACGTTTCCCTGACTCATGAGTTCCATGGCTATACCACTCCCTGTTTATAAAATATGGCCACACGACAGAGAATACCTGATCCTACATGCTTTTACTTGTTTTCAAAATGTTCTTTCTTTTCATATCTCTATTAATTAAAGAAAGAACCTGGAAACACCACTTCTGTAATAAAATTAACTATGAGAAGGAAAATGTTGGGTTGTTATTGGAATAACATTGATCTATACATGTGCCTTTTTTTAAATGTAATTGAATGTATAGTTATATATCAATATTTTGTGGACAAAATTGTTATTGAAAAAAACTTGAAGGGCCTCCCCTGGTGGCGCAGCGGTTGAGCGCTGGGCTACGAAGCTGCCCGCAGCCTCTACAGCGCTGGTTCGATCCCTGGCCACCGGCGAGGGTCCCACATGGCGTGACAGACCTCTCCTGTCACGCCCGCTGCTCCCCTCAGCAGTGTATTTCTTCATCAGTCTGCCTGTTCTGTTCCCCACTCTGGCTCTGGGAATTCTCTCACCCCCTGGTGCTTCTGACTGTACCCAGTGCTTGTATAAATAAATAAATAATTCTTTAAAAAAAAAATAAGTGTCTATATTTTAAAAAAAATAAAATAAAAAATAAAAATCTTGAAAAGCCATTCATGTGCAAAATTGATCTCTATCTCAGTCTCTCTTCTTTGAGTGTTTTCCAAATAATTTTAATTATTTCTACTAAGAAATATTACCCATTCTTCTTTCTGAAGGGTCTCCAGTGCCAGTGGGTATAGATCTCCAGCTTGAAAGTATTGACAGTATTTCAGAAGTTAACATGGTAAGTTTCTCTATAAGATAAAAAAATTAATGTTTTTATTTACAGTAATTCCTCAAATACTCATTTCCACCCAAATGCCAACTGAATAAAAAACTGTAGGACACATTAAAATTCCAGAAAGGCCTAAACAAAATTTTCTATGACCTGTGACATCTTGTTTCAATGTCCTTCTAGTCCTTGTCATTATTTAACTCATATTTATTTCAGTTCAATATCAAACCTTAAATGAAACTTCCTTCATTTTAACCATTCTACTTCCCAAAGGGAATAGCTTCAGTTATAGTCACTACTCAAAAATGCCTTGTTCAAAATGTTTCTGCTCTTTGGTCCGACACTACTTAGAGTTTGTAGAGCTAGAGAAGCAAGTTCTCATTTCCCCTCTCTTGGCATAATCTTTAATTTCTCCTGGAATGACCTAGTTTGCATCCAGAATTCCCACTGTCTCCACCCTGAAGCCTTTGAAAGAAACTCATCCTTTTTCCCTAAAGATCAGACACTGGACTGGATTCTCCAAGCCTCATTGAAAATGCTTTCTAATTAAAAATAACCTGTGTTGGCTGCTTTTGATTCACATTTATCATTATCCCACCCTGAATCATTTTCAATTCCTCTGGGTTTTCGCTCCCTTTCCTCCCAGTTTGCTGCTGAGTCTTCTCCCAATAGTGCCAGGCAGTAGTGACAGATTCATCATGAGTCACTGTGTCATTTGACTTCACACACTCGGTGTTTGCCCAGTGACCCTTGGATCAGACTGAACATCCAGTATATGCTTATAAAGCTGTCCGGAGCCTCCCTGGTGGCTTAAGGGGTTAAGACACAACCTATGAAGCTATCCTATGAAGCTATCCGCAGCCACTGCAGCACTAGTTCAATTCCCAGCCGGGGAGCTGCCCACATGGTGCAGCAGACCTCTCCTGTCTTGCCTGCTGCTCCCCTCAGCAGTGTGTTTCAGTTGATCTGCCTGTTCTGTTCCCCACTCTGTCTCTGGTGAATCCCTTCACCCCTCTCCGGCACACACACCTCTGGCCTGTACCCCAGTTCGTGTATGCATAAATAAATTAATTTTTTAAAAAAGCTGCCCATCCCACACAATTCTCTGTAGAGCAGTGTTATGGTAATGAACGGATTGTTCTATTTACTCCCCCCCCCCAAAACTAATCCAAAATTATCTATGAGGCTGATAATCCCAGATTTACCCAGAGCAATAATAATAATACTACACACCTCTATTCTGAACCTAAGGAAAACAAACTCGTTCATAATTAATTAGCGACTTAATTTTAGTTTACTGAGATTTTTCAAACTTCTATATGTGTTAGCTCAAGAAAAATGTGAGTACTGTTGGGCAATAAATTATAGTAAGAGGTAAATAATTGTGAAAGTTTATCCCATTGTCTTGGCCCACACACAATGGCTTCAATTAAGCTAGGAGTGTTTCTGTTCGAACAAGCAAAATGTTAAATGTAGCTCCTGAGAGCCAACCAAAACTCAAATTATTGACAACCCATTTTTTATGCTAATGTAATGTTCATATAGCTTCGCCCCTCATCCTACTTGCTTACAACTGGGATACACGTGATCAATTCAAATTCCTGAACCATACTGAATCAGAATCTCTAGGAACCAGTTTCTGAGGGATGTGTATTTTAACAAATTTGCAGGCAAGTCTCTAGTACCTGGAATTTGAGAACCACTGTTTCATGATTCAGTTTCTCAAGCTGATCATTGTGTCTTTCCCAGGACCTCTGAAAACTCTTAACAAATTCTGTGACCAGGTTTTTATGGGGCTATGGTTTATTCAATTCGGGGGTCCTTCTTTAACAAAAAACAATGTAATTTCAAATGCATAAATTTATGGATGAAATCAAGTGTAAAAATGAATATTTATTTGAAATGAGAAAATAAATCATGGCTTGAGTTTAATCCAGGCCAGGGAGCTAACCCACATATGGCACATCAGACCTCTCCCGTGTCACCCACTGCTCCCCTTAGCAGTGAGTAATTCTGCTCCCCACTTTGTCTCTGGTGAATCCTCTCACTCCCTGCACCTCTGACCTACACCCCAGTTCGTCTATGCAAAAAAAACCCTTAAAAATCTAAAATAAATGAATAAATAAATAAAGACACCTTGTTCACCTCAGTAGTAATGAGCTGTTACCAGACTTTCATAAAGGCTGTCTTTGTTTTTTAAAAATGCAATTAAAGGAATGTACTATTTTCAATATGACTTTTAAATCAGGACTAACATGGGATGTTAATAAGTACTGGAGTCAAGCCTCACTAGGAATTGGAGACAGAGCAGCTACTTCTGGCCAAGGAATGAACTATTTCAAATTATTTTCAATGAAGGCATGTCCATTAAAGGATTAATTCAGTGGATTGTCCTTACCATGCATGTTCCAAAGAAAAATTTGGCCTTTACCTGACTCCTGGGATATAACCACTAAACTTTTGGAATATCCTGCCTGATAAGGACCCTGGGCCAGGCCAGAGAGTTTGTTCTAACAATGTGATTGATGGTGGGGAACTGCAGTCAAAAGGTATCAGTTTGACCTCCGGAAGGCCTGGAGACTAAGGGTAGTTAGACCTATGTGACCAGTCCTCACAGCTCTGGCAGCTTCTGTGGCTAGAAATACTCCATGTGTGTTGTCATGCCTCACTGCTAGAAAATTAAGTGCTTTCCATGTAAATCTACCAGAACAGGACAACTAGAAACTTGTTCCTTGTCTATCCTGGACCCTCACCAGGTTCCTTTTCCATTACTGACTTTAGTCTGTATACTTTTCATTGCAACACACTGTAAGTATTAATATAAAAGCATTGATGAATTCTGTGAGTCCCTTAAGGGAATCATTGAACTTGAGGGCGGTCTTGGTGACCCCTGAACACAGGAGGAGTCAAAATTGTTGTCTGCACAGTTTTTTAAGCTGAAAAGAGAGCTAGTCCAAGCCCAGACTAGGTCACTTGGTTCTGACATAATCTACTGACAAAAATTCTCTACTTAAGCAAACTCTGTTTAGGCTCCTCTGAACTTGTCACCTAGGTCCCAATTTTGAGCTTTCGTATTTGTCTCCCCTAAGTCCATTTAGCTGCAATCCCCTCAATGTCTGATCACCCTCTACACCTGATCAGGTTCCTCATCCTGATCGCCCTGGCCTGCCTCAGCAAGAATCCTGTTAGCTTCATGCAGCCAGAATCTCTGGAAACCGACATTTCTTCTGAGTAATTTTCCAACCCTAATCCCCTACTTCCTCCTCTTTAGCTATAAATTCTCACTTCTTGTTATATCTGGAGTTGAGCCCAATTGTCTTCCCTACTAAAAATCCAAGGACATTTTTCCTTACCATCCTTTAAATGGTGTCATGAATAACTTTTTCTTTAACACTACCCATCTAACTTCCTTAGTCGTTAATTTATTCATGTGGACCAACAAGGAGGTAAACTCAAAGACTTCAGAAGTCCTTCCAGCTCTAAAGTACTAGCAATATGCCAAATGACTGTTTGTGACACAGAATCATCCAGACAGCTCCCTGAGGGGCGTTTTGCTGCAGGACTAGAGTTCAACCCTTGGAAGAAAAAATGATTCAACTTCTCTGATCAGTGGGGGCACAGTGGGTAAGAGAAGCTGTTGCCTTTGTGTTTTGCAGACTTGCTAAAGGCCCTTTTAGGAAACTCTGATCTGCTATTGTAGATACCAAAAGTTTTACTTTAAGATAGGATCATAGTACAATGTGCCTCTGCCTGAAGACAGGAAAATCTAGGAGGACATAAAATTTGAAAAATCAATCCTCATCAGCATGAAAGTCTTTTGACTTAATAGCACCTGAATTATGTATTGTGCTCATAAATCTGTGACTGAAAATGCTTTGGGCTTTTCCATCAGTCTTAGAAAGAGAATTTCCTCAGGTAAACTTGCTTAGTGAGGGAAACCTTAACCGTGTGTTTTTATTGCCACTTTTATTACTAGAAATTATTTAAGTTTGCATCTTCCAGAAATCAGAAAATACTTAAGTCTGTTTAAAATTCTTCTCACTTTGAAGTGTGTTTTTCTGATAATAGAGCCAGGAAACACAGAGGTATCTAACCAGGAAGTGCTGATCAGAAGCAATTACTCGAACAGGAATTTCTCATTAACACTAAATCTTAAGCAAATTACCTTGCTTTCCTGGTTTGCTTCCTTGTATGTTATTCCCATCAAATGCCTGTTTTGCATGATTCTTGAAAGGCACACAAGGCAGGCAAAAACTCAGAAAGTTGCTGGGTTGCGTGCCTGACCACGTGGTTAAGTGATCTGCAGTTTTGTTGTCTCTTTATAGGATCACTGTTTCGGCCATGTGCTTTATGGATTTCAGCAGGGTTCCTTTAGACCCTCAAAATTGTTCCCTGTAACTGGAGAGTTGTAAGTCTTGTTCTCTGATGGAGTGAGCACATGTGATTACAACATACCATCACATATTTGCTGTAAATAAGCATTCTCCTAATAAGCACTAAAAACAAGTTTAAGTTAAATATATTTGTCCAAAATCATTTTTGTCCAAAATCATTGTTTTTGCTTTTGTTCTGTTTTGTCCTAAGGTTGATGGCAGATTGTCAAATGAGAAGATTCAGGGGGAAAAATGGTTTTGATAATTACATACTCTGCAATCTCCACAAAGGTTACAAAGGAACAGCTCCCTAAAAAGGTGTATTCTTGCCAATGTTATTAACTTAGATTGACAGAGACTTGTCAAATTTGGAAAGCTCTGGAATTCATGTTCTGGTATGAATCACAACCTTCCATTTTTTGTACTTGAGTTCCCCAGAAAAACTCAACTCTAGATATACACCCCTTCATCAAAGCCACTAAGCTGAGCCATCTCCCTGTCAATCACGCTGACACATCAGCTGTTTTTGATATGACATCTTAAAAGCTGCCATTTTTCGGAATGTGTCTGAAATGCTGGGAATCTCCATGGATGCCTCCTACATAGATATTCTTCCCCGAATCCTGAGAAATTTTCTATACAGCCATTTGATTTTGGAAGAAAATTTTTTCATGAGTCACCTCACTTTGGAATTTTATGCAAGACAACTAGAAAACTAAAGGTGACTAAACATCAATGCTCAGTCCTGTGAGTGTAAGATGATGCTGTGGCATCTCAAATGCACACGATGCTGATGCTCTCCATGTGTGCAGCTGTCTAAAGTGTTCTAACTCATCACATGGGCACAAGTAAAACCTCCATGCTATGCCATTGTCAGGGTCTAATTTTTGGAGATATTTTTCTTTTTGAAGACATGATTATAGTGAGTCTGTTAGCAAACATATTTTTTGGCACCGAATATATACATGACCTTGAACCAGGCACTGGTATGTATGTATTCAACATGATTCAAGACCTTGTGGAGTTTGTAACAGTTTATTCTGGTGCAGGAATGTTGTTTTCTTGTTTAAGGTGCCTACAATGAGGAAGATCTAATACTTTGCAAGAAACAAGTCCCTCCATACTGATGAGCATATTTTTCTGTCTCAGTTCTTTGTTGAAGAGTTCAGTGCATCCAGTAGGTTCACTTTCTATAGCAGCACAGGTACAGAATTTTATATGGACAATTCATCAGCACTTACTGAGCATCTACTGTATGCAAAGTATTACAACATGTAAAGAGACCTAAATCTAAAAAGTGATCCATTTGACCAACAACATCATCCTTCTCTTATGGGCAACCACCTCCACCTTTCCAATGCATCATTCCTCTCCTCTAGAGGTAACTGCCTTTAACTAGTTGCCATGTTTCCACTGTTCACTCCTGCAGTCTATTCTTAATATATCAGATATATTGGACATAAATACAGTTTTTCCTGTGCATAACATTCCAGTGTTTTTCCATTCCAGTGTTCCATTAGCAACAATATTCAGGCTTTCTGACATGGCCTACAAGACCCTACACGATCCATCTGACCTCACCTACAACCCTGACCTTCTACCACATCCTACTTGCTTGTTCTACTTGCATCCTACTTGCATCCTACTTGCTTATTCTCAATCACCCCTGTCTTGTTCATGTGCAGGCTTTCTGCTTTGGCCTTTTCCTCTCTGCCTGGAATGCTTTTCCTCTAAACTTTTCCTGACCAGCTCCCTCATGTCATTTAGGACTTGTTTCAAACAGCATCTCCTCAAAGAGTGCATTCGTAGTCCGCCTCTCTAAAATAGGCTCCTTCCTCACCATTCCCTTTCTGTTTGTCTTCACAGCACATACCATTACCTGAAATACATCATTATCTGACTGTGTTGTCTGAGGGCCTGACTAGAAGAGTGCAGGTTCTCTGTCTTCTTCACTATTTGTTCCCCAGTGCCTGAAATGTGCCTGCACATGATAGGTATTCTATAAAACCAGCTTCATGGGTCAATCAGTAATGCACATCATTGTCCCAAATAGAAAATCCATTCAAAATCTTGCCAATACTGTTCACTCTCTTTTATGAGAGAAGTGCTTTTCGTTTGGCAACATTTATCCAAGGCACTTTTTAAAATTATATCTAAAGGATTTTCTAGGACCAACAGCTATTTAATTTATCCAGAAGAAATGCTCTATTTTTCTCTTCTATTTGTTCTACATTGCTTGGAACTTAGCAGATGATGCTATTAATTGCAATGCCCATTGCTTTTTCTGATTGTATAGGTAACACTTAATTTTTGATCAGTGATATATCCCAGCCACATAGTTAATGCTCCATAGTTAATTGTTGAATAAATGAATGAATAGTAGATAATTTAAAAAGGATTCGGAGGGGCCTCCCCGGTGGCGCAGTGGTTGAGCGCTGGGTTGCGAAGCTGCCCACAGCCTCTGCGGCTCCGGTTCGATCCCCGGCTGCTCCCCGGCCACCGGAGGAGGGTCCCACATGGCGCGCAGACCTCTCCTGCCGCCCGCTGCTCCCCTCAGCAGTGTACTTTGGTCCTTTTGCCTGCTCTGCTCCCCGCTCTGGCTCTGGTGAATTCTCTCACCCTCCCGTGCTTCTGACTGTACCCAGTGCTTGTATAAATAAATAAATAAATCTTTGGAAAAAAAAAGGATTCTGAAAACTTCAAAGAAAAGATCTTTATAATCCTGCTTCTTAGAAATAAACTATGTAATTATTTTGATATGTTTTCTGCTCCTCCTTTTCCTTGTTTTTCTCTATATAAGTGATTATAGATATACTTTTATCAGGATTTTCAATGCTCTTCATCATAAATTAGATTAATATTTAAGCAAAGGAATACATGTAATGAACAATAATACATATTAGAGTATAATTTATTTTTTAAAACATAAATATAATTAAAGTAATTACATTTTATAATTATATACTTACATTATACTTTCATAATATACTTTTATAATGATTGCATTGTAATTTACATTTAAAGTATACTTTACAGTTTTTTCACTTTACTATTGTTAAGATGAAATAGCTTTTGCACTTGATAAATTGTGAACAGGACTTTGCAGTGTGTGATGACATTAAGATGAGATACATAACAAGCATAGGAATCCCAAACTATTATTTCCTGCAAGAATATATAGAACATATCTTAATTATAGCAATGGCAAAATCTGAAATTTCTTTAGATTTTGAAACACAAGTGTATACATTAATATACATCCATTGATATATATCAGCTGTCTTCTTTTTTTTTTTTTTTAATTTTCTAGAGGCATGTCTTATTTATTTATTTATTTATTATTTGTTTGTTTGTTTGGTTTATACATGCACTGGGTACAGTCAGAAGCGCGGGAGGGCGAGAGAATTCACCAGAGCCAGAGCGGGGAGCAGAGCAGGCAAAAGGACCGAAGTACACTGCTGAGGGGAGCAGCGGGCGGCAGGAGAGGTCTGCACACCATGTGGGACCCTCCTCCAGTGGCCAGGGAGCAGCCGGGGATAGAACCAGAGCCGCAGAGGCCGCGGGCAGCTTCGCAACCCAGCGCTCAACCGCTGCGCCACCGGGGAGGCCCCTATCAGCTGTCTTCTTGAAAAGAATTAGTTAAATTTCACTTCCAAATTACAGCTTCACTAATTAGCCATTCCATTGGCATGACTATCTCTTTACTTGTGCTTGTCAGACTTTTTGAGCCCTGCCATGCAAGCTCAACTCTAGTTGATTTTTATCTTCTTATGGTCATATTTTAATCTGTCTAAAGGCAAACAAAATACTGCATTGAAAAAATTACTCAGAGGGATGCTTTTAAGATTTTTTAAATAAACTAAAAGTTATTAATATTCAATATGATTACATTTGGTTTCTAAGAAAAATGGAAAAAATAATTTTAAATATACATGGTTTGTGTTGCATGAGATAGTTATCCATAATAAATTAAAATTTTAAAAAGCCAAGTTACAGAAGTAATTTCTCTATTATCTATTACATATATATATATACATATATATAACACATATATGAAGGTTAACAATAGATACCTTTGAGAACTGCATATAGATTTGGGAGATTTTTAATTTTATTTCAACATTTCTATACTTTTAATTGGCTCCCATATGAACATTTTAAATAAGAATGGTTAAAATGGGCACTAAGGTTATTTTAAAAGCACAAGAGTAAAGCACTTCGATAGTCATATTTAAATAACATGTTAAGGCCTCCCCGGTGGCGCAGTGGTTGAGCACTGGGTTGCGAAGCTGCCCGCGGCCTCTGCGGCGCAGGTTCGATCCCCGGCTGCTCCCCGGCCACCGGAGGAGGGTCCCACATGGCGCGCAGACCTCTCCTGCCGCCCGCTGCTCCCCTCAGCAGTGTCCTTCGGTCCTTCTGCCTGCTCTGCTCCCCGCTCTGGCTCTGGTGAATTCTCTCACCCACCCGCGCTTCTGACTGTACCCAGTGCATGTATAAATAAATAAATAATAAATAAATAAATAAATAAATAAATAATCCGCTGTTTAAAAAAAAAAAAAATAAATAAATAACATGTTAATAATCATGTCTGGATTCATTCAACCATTTCTTAGGTTTAAGAAAGATAAGATTTTAGAAATTTATTTTGGTTCACAAGAAGTGGTAATTCTGCCTCACATTAGCTATGATTATTAAGCATGGTCCCCTGAAAGCCAAATGCAAGTGTTTTTCTCATATTAGTGTCCCCCTTATATACATTAGCTTTGTCAAAATAGCCACCATAAAACCAATGAATCACTAAAGTAGTAATAGGTAAAACATTATTGTCCACTGACCAAAAAGACAGAGAACACTTAACCAAGTCATGGAATGAGGCTTAGGGGCATTTTGCTAACAGCAGCTTACACAGTGGGTGGGGGTGAGGAGGGCAGTCACTGTTTGTTCTTCACAGTGATTCCTTATAATTTTAGATATCTCCTAAATAATAGGAATTGACCACTGGTCACCTAATAGCAACATTGGTAAATGAAAAAAAAAATTGGTAAATGGTTTTTTTTGCTTATGTCGTTTGAATGCATCAATAAGAAATGAACCTGGTCAAGTTAGTCTGGCAAAATAAGCTAAATAAAGCTTTGTTGGTGTGACTAAACTGTTTTGTCTGCTCAGGGAATTTTTCAGTGGGTCTCCCTTTGTTTTGGTTTTAAAGACTTTATCCAAAAAGTTTTAGTATTTTTTTCTTCATTCCTACCATTATAAATATCGCCATAACCACTAATACCAAATCAGTTGTACAGAAAAATCTATACTTCTGGTCTGGTTACAAGAGCCAGAATAGAATCTTAATTTCCATTTTGTAGCTGAACCACCAGATTCTCACCTTTTTTTCTTGGCAATTTTAACAAGCAGGTGAGGACTTCTGCTCTCTCATCCCTTTCAGTGTCCCCTCAAACTCATATATTAGAGATTTATAAAGGAGAAAGAAATGACTCCTGCCCCCATGGGATGCATTGAACAATTATTCTTTATTGCAGCATTTTATAATGGTTTAAAGAACTCTTTCTGAAGAAAGAATGCTCAAGTTCAAATTCTGGCTCTACTACTTATTAACAATGTGACCTTGGGCACCTATCTTAATCTCTCTAAACCTCAATTCCCTCGTCTTTAAATTGGTTTCATAACTCTCAATCTCTCAGGATTGTAAGGATACATGATTTAATACATTTAAGTAACTCAGAATAATGTCTGCCATATGATAAGTGCTCAATAAATATTATCTAGTAACTATATCATCTTCATCACCATCATCATCACCATTTTCACTAGCAGCATTATCTTGTTCTTTTCAATACAGACTGAGATTTAGCATTAACCTTTGAAGGGGACAGTCTCCAGATGTAAAAACCTTCTTGAAAAGGTAAAACCATATACACTAACAATGTTTTCCTTTATGAAGTACCTTCACAGCTTTTCCTTATTTTTAATCTCACAATAATTATAGGAAGCTATAACATCAGAGATACCATTATTCCAGTCTGTAGACATATTCAAAATTCTCTATTACACACAATAAAAAGGAGGGCTGTTGACTGGTGGGTGATGGATGGTGACTGGGCATTTGATGAAGGGCATGGGATGATATATGCAGTTGCTAAGGTGAGAAACCTATGCTTGAAACCTATACAGGTTATGCTGATTTAAAAGTTGAGTTGGTGGCAAGAAAGTGAGGGAGTGAAAGATGGAGAGAGGTAGAGAAGGAAGAAATAAAGAAAATATTTATAAAATGAAGGCCACTCAAAAATCTTTAGTGAAGAGTACACATACAGCAGTGCACATCAATCTGTATTCATAACAAAGACAGTTATAAAAGAAGCGTTAAAATAAAGTAGGCTGTGACATAGCATAGTAGCAGGAAGGGCACAGTGCAAGATCTCTGATCCAAGCAGATGGGGTAAAGGAGGAGTCCTGGAGCCCTCAGTGGCTTTTTGCAGGCTTTTATTGGGATTTACCAGGTACATGGCAGGCAGGGGTACAGGAAGGCAAAGTCTGGCTGGATGGACTCCCAGCCCCCACCAAGTCTTCACTCTTTCTGGGCTCTCTGGTGGCCTCTGCTTCTCTGCCTCTTCTCTTCTGGTCTTTTGCTCTGCTGGTGTCCCCGTGATGCTGCCCTTATAAGCTCAGTCTCTCAGCCCAGGTGTACCCACCCATGCAGCCCACACCCTACTCCAGGTGTCCGTCATCAGGCATGCATTTAATCTAATGGCAGGCGGTGGAAAAATCTGATGGCAGGCGGGTGGAAAAACTTACCCTACGCATAGGTAATACAACTACTAAGTAGCCTAAAAATAATGTTTATTTGACTTTAGAATGAAATATGTGAAGTATCTCCCACTACTCTTGGCAATGAAAATGTTGAGTAATTCCTAAAACTTATATTAACTGATAGTGAGGGAGGACCTCAGAATAGGTGATGAAAAGAAAGGTAATCAGTGCCTAATTGAGAATCGAATACCTGGAGCAGAGTTTACATAGAATATTAGGTATATACCTTAGTCCAAATGCCTAAATATTTACCTGATCCTTGTAATGGGTTTGCCATCGTCCGTTTCCTGAAAAGTTACATTGAGACTAGTAAAAGCACTCTCTAACAACACCTATGCTTTTATTTGATATTTTTTAGCCAGTAGTCTCTATGTTTTGAATAATTTTGTCTCAAAATAAATTGAATTTATTATAGAAAAATAATCTTACCACTGACTCATAAAAGATGTATTTTCATTTTTATTCATTGCATTTTCATTCGTCTTATTTTAGTAAAGACTTAATACAATTGGCAACGCAGTGATTATGAAATAAAGCAAGATAATATGAATTAGAAATGTATGAGAAAGAAAATTAAAAAACAAGAGTAAGGTAATATATAGAATACAGCATGTAGTTATTAAAGAGTCGCACACAGAGAAATCCTACAGATGACACCCAAAATTGCCTTAAACTTCCTTATAGCCAATGGGGGAAAAAAACAAACCTGCGCAAAAGATGTGTGCAGATGGGACCAAAATTGTTGCTTTTGAATCACTTCAAAGAACTAAGTATTAGATGCATATATTCCAGTAAGAAGCAAAGAAACATCATTTGGTCCCTTTTTTGCAGATTTATCACTGATAAATTAATATTGCCTGTGAAATTTTGAAATAAAAATAATTTATAGATATTCCTTTTCCTTGTCTTTGAATCCTTTGCTGTCTGATCCCAACTTAGAATCCAGTGAGCTAGTACCTACTGTGAATCCTTTCCTTCAGATAAAATACTTCAGTTGGCTGCTTGTTATAACTAACAGGTAGCTTTTTGCCTTTCATGCAGTCATTAGTGACATACTAAAGACTTGCAGAAACACTGTAAGCACAATACATTTTGGAGAAAAGTCACTAAAGGCCAGCTCACAAAATATCATTACCATTCATTCCTGAATTGCAAGCATGGAATTTAAGGACGATGTTTGTGTCACATAATTAAGCATACTTCAGTTAGTTCCACAACTACTCAGCAAGCACCAGACCCAGGTCCTGTAAATGCAAGTAAGAGTGTTAAGTGTCATTTTTCCCAAAGAACTTGGAGTCCAAGAAGCAGTCATTTTACTGAATGTGACTTTTCTATGAGGAAACCTGTTCGAATGAAAATTTTGGCTTTTTCTCATAGGTTGGTACAACAGGCTTTTCATCAATTTTGTGCTAACGAGACATATTTTCTTCTTCATATTGCAACCTGTTTCCCAGCTATGTTCATGGTAATGCTCTTATGGGTTTCGTTTTGGATTGACCAATGAGCTGTTCCTGCAGGAGTTTCCTTGGGTAAATCTTTCCATATCTTTGTGAAAAGTTAATATGGGGAAAAGGTCAAGGAGGAAAATCAAAAGGGGTGATAAGAGGAAAAGACAGGTGTAGTTTAGTAGGGATAACTAGAGATGTGCACTCAGGTTCAAGTATTTTATGCTGACAGCCTCAGTGGCAAACTGTAATTCAGCACTTTCCTTGGCAACCCAAACTTTAGGTATGAAGGGTGCAGTGACTGACAGGCAGCTGGATGATAATAAGGAGAGAGGGTGGAATTATGAACCATAATCAGTCTCACTTTACAAACCTATTTTTTTCCCCTTAGGAAACCTCCCCATCCTTTGCCCAATTCCATTTTGTTTTACATGACAAACCCCGAGGTCACAAAATAACCTTCACACTAATTTACAATATGCTGTTGGTGCCTTAATAGCCTGCTTCTTGGGAATATGGCTGAACGTAGAAATGGGACTGCTAATTAAAATTTAGGATTTAATTTAAATGCCAAATCACAATCAGTCACAGTGGAACTTCAGATATTGTGACACTTTCATTGGTAAGAGAATTTCAGGTAGAGAGACATAGGGAGCTTCATTAAGTCACCACGCAGATGTGATTATTTACTCATCTAGCATTTTCTAATCCCCTGTAACACATCCTAATTTATGAGAACCATTTAAGAACCACATTGAAGTTATTGAGCTCTTACAAAGTAGAAGGTGCCAAGCTAAGCATTTAGATAACATGTTACTTAGTAAGAACCCAAGAGTCTTCTTGGCTGGTTAGGGGGAGCACGCCCTCACCCTTATTTCTAGTGATTTCATTCCTTCGTCTGTAACACTTTAACTAGAGGGAAGATTGTTATAAGTGATTTACACTCATTTTAATGATCACACAATTCATTCCTGAAAGGTTGATTTTTAAGTTAATGTTCACAAATTATATGCATACTTCAAAAGATCATTTGAAAGGCATAAATGGTGATTAATATTAATAATTTGTTCACCTCTCTCCCCTATTAAAAGCTTCAATCTATAGGCATTTGAGATTTGAATATCTTCAAGGGAAAAAAAACCCATCTGACTGAATAATTAAATTATTGTGGCTGTTGCTTCACATCAGAGCTTCTGTGCCCTGACCTCAGTACAATAGTGGGGCTGTGGAGACCCAAACAGTTGACTAAAGACACATTTCCAGTCCTTGAGACAAAATGAAGAGGCATTCAGTATCTAAATCTAAATTTCAGTTGAATTCCTGAAGCTGAATGTTCAGCACTTACATTATGAAAATGACAGCCATTAAGAGCTGAGTGGAGAATGCTGAAGTACATTTAAGTCACCCCTGAAATCCTGTGCTTTTTGCAGTCACTCTCCCCCATCCATTAGTAGATTTATGTAAAAAAAGAATATACAAATCAAAAGTGTCCCTCTCCCCCAACTCCTTCCTTAAATAAAGAGAACTACAGTGTTACAGTTTTTTCATCCTTTATTTCCTGTACTCAACAAACCCTCTTCCCCACTCTATTTCTATTGATCACTTTAAACAGGGCAAATCTTAGTACAACTATAGTAAATTAGTATTACTAAGCACCCACTTTAAGCAGGGGAAATCTTAGTACAACTACAGTAAATTAATTTTACGAAGCACCCTCTTAAGGAAAATGACTGATAGTTTGTTGGCTCCTACCAAAAATAGATAATGCAATTCCCTTTCATTGGACCAAAAGTCATCAATTTAAAATACACGACGAGGCCTATTTGGCTGGCACATAAACTTTGTGTTCATTCTAATCCCTTGTTTTGTCCACTAAGCACCATATTACCCTCTATTGAAAAAAATCAAGTTCTATCTGCCATATCTTAAAAAAACCATCAAGAAAAGACATTTAAAATTTTTGGTACTAATAAGGTAAACTAAATAAATGTTAGTTCAGGAGTCATTCTGTTTTACCAATGAATTCTTGAAGCCAATGAGAATTTTGACCTGTTGAAAAGCACAGATACCTTCACACTTCCTGAAATAATCCTATACTGAATTTTATAGTATTTTGTCTCAGAGATACACCATATATACAGATTGATTTATATCTAAAAAACAGGAAATCTCCTTATAGGTCTAGCATGAGTGGCAGCAGGTTAATCTGTGAAAGGTATGGGTTTTGTATTCAGAGAAAAATATTTCAGTCCTGCTCTTGACAAAACTTAGGCTGAATAGTTAGCCACTCTCATTTCATATTTCTTTTCTATAACATACAGCAATAATATTTTCCTAGATCTGCAGGGAGTAAACGTTCAATAAATTCAAGCAAGTTTTATTTAATAATCTTGGCCTCAGCTTCACATACACCTGTAACATTAATAAAAATTCTATATCTCCATGTTTATGTAGCAAGGAATGCAAACAGCATCCTCTGGCACGCAGATTGTTAATATTACGGTTGTTGGGAGAAAGCAGGGACCCTGAAAGAGTGGCCTTTGGGGTGGTGAGAGCTGGAATAACATTTAAATTTCTTATTCTGGAGTTTCCATAAGTGTGTAGGTGAGATTTCAGGCACTCCCCTGGTGATTGTCAAATTGTCAACTTGTGTTGGTCTACATTAGACAAAAGGAAAAACTTCATTTGAAATTGAGTTGTCACTGCCTTTGATATGGGCCTCCCTTGGTTGAGAAGCTGGCAGAATTACTATAGAAAGGGTAGAAATGTGTTGGTAAAAGCTGTCCACATGCTGTGTCTGTACATTTAGGAGTGAATCACAGTGCTCTTCCTGCTGTTCAGTGCTCTGTCTGTTGACATTAAAATGTCCTCACAACTTATAAAAATCATTAAGGATTCCATTTGCACCTCCCTGGTGGGAATTTAAGAAATAAAACCATGCCAGTCAGTGTACATTTCTAATATTTACAATACTATACTTTCCCTCAGGCAGTAATCTTGTAGTATCCCTCTGAGAAATTAGTGTAGACACAGAACAGCTCTCCCCAAGGCCAGCATTTTATTAAGGAAATCTTGGAGTCACTTCTTTCTCCATTGTCTCCTAGAACCCTGATCTCATTACCTTCAATGCTCATGCCAGAGCATTAAAAAGGCAGGAAGAGAAGGAAAAGGAAAGGAAAAGGAAGGGAAGGTGGGAAGGCGAAGATAAGTGAAAAAATTAACTGGCATTTCAGTTGCTCAGTAAATATTTACACTGAGCTGAGGCTCCATTACTGCACTGCCATTCAGATCGCAATTGAATTGTTGTTTCAGTAACAAGAAGCAAAGTAAGAGCAACAATGAAAGGTTTTAAGAATTTGATATGAAAGAAGAATATGGAGAATGGCAATCTTTAATGCTACTAAGGGAGAAATAGCCTTCCCGTGAATGAAATATTAAAGATGGACACAAAGACAGGTCCTTAACAGTGCAATTTGTGAAATGCTGGGGAAGGTTAATGGAAATGGTCTGGGAATTTATTTCTCAGGAGGATTTTTTAAAAACTGAATAAATTTTACCTTTCTGGGCCTATCTGAGAACAGGAAGCACTGGTTCTTCAAGACATGTCTGCCCCTGAGGTCTTCAGATGCTAGGAAGGAAATGTTATGGACAGTGAGAGTGGGGGCAAGAAAAAGGAGTGGAAAGAGAACTCCAATGAGAACTTCTTGCTTAAATGCAAGATGTGTACTAGGTTAGCAAGCAGGGATTCTCCTCCTGCTTTGTTGTGGAAATGCATCCCATTGTGTAATACAGGACTGAATGGTTATGTCACTGTGCTGGTCCCTATTCTCATATGGCAGCAATCATTACCACGGTGCTGCCCATGTCCACAGTGATCTCTGGTGTGAGTGCCTCCATGCACCAGGTATCCTGCATCACAGCTGCGGACGTGTACCTATGGGTCAGCTCTTTGTGTTTGTGTCTTTGTGTTCCGTCGGTCATTGAGTAGGCAGTGGTGAACTACCCCACCTCAATGGGAGACTGGAAATAGTTTAAGAAGAGAGAGAAGGTACTGCCTTACTTTGACTATCAGATCCCATTTGAAATGGGAAAAGAGTCTCTTACACTACACTACAACCCTCTTCTTGTATTAAGTCACGGGATGGTGACAACACAAATTGAAATTTAGTCTCTGCTCCTTGCTAGCTGGTTTCCAATCATTGTCCTTGTTTACCTTTGCCAGGAGTTTTTTGGTATGAAGAATTTCTCTCAGTATGCCCCTTTCTGCTGACTTTACCTCTTGAATAGAAAGGGTTGATATGCAAACCACACCTTTCAAGTGGATGATAGTGATAACAATTAATAGCTAACATTTAATGAGAATTTATTATGTATTGGCATTGTGCTAACTACCTAACAAATATTATGTCATTCAATTCTCAAAGTATTCCTGAGAGCTCAGTACTTTGTCACCCTCATTTTACAGAAAGGAGCCTATGGGTAATAACGTGGCCAAGGTCACAGAGCTCAAGAGGAATCAGGGTTTAATTTTGGGTCTCCCTAATTCCAAAGACTGTGTCCCTTAATCAAGAAATGAACCTGTTTTTAGCCACCAAGAGGTAGGATTTATTTTTTCCTTCTTGTCATTCAGGAGAGTGGTAGCACATAAAGGGAGGTTTCTCCCGGACAGTATATTGGGAATATGGTGTCTCTGGGCTCTAAATGTTAGCAGGTTTCTTGTGGCATTGCTTAACAAATATGGATTGGCTTCTACTTGCTTCATTTCACAAAGGTTTGGGTGCTCTGTGGTGAGAACTGACATAAGATACTGGACTTCAGATACCTACTGATCAAATTATTCAAATTAATTCATGTTTGCTAGTCTACACTTAAGAGGCCATATATGTATATGACATATACAACATATATACACATATACGTGTAATTTCAATGAGATATATTCACATTGGTTTAAGAAATTCTTAAATGAGCATTTATATACACCCAAAATATTATTTACTGTTTTTTACACTTCTAGTAGAATACTCCATACTTTTCAGAGTGTTTTTATATCCTCTTCTGCACTGAACCCTCATCTCAGTTCCCTGAGGTAAGCCTTGCAAAGATTATCTCTGTTTTAAAATAGAGAAGCAAAGTTTTAGTGAATCTAATTTGCCAAAGAGTCAAGCCATCAGAGCTGCAACTGCATTTCAGATCTCCTGTATGCCATCTTCATTCTTTTTTATCATTTGAGTCAAAGCTCTAATAGGAACTGATCTTGATTTATTGTAGATTTTTCAGTTTATTTGGTTGGCTATAAATGAATATGTGTCCATGTCACATACACACCCACAGCAACTGCTGTACAGGTGTGAGAACACTAGAAGTGTTTACACTGGTAGGTTGCAGTGGATACATAAGCACCACATGGGTTTCTTACAACTTTCAATCAGTAGGGCTGGAGTGAGACCTGAGGACCATTTTTCTAACAGGCTTTTTCTAATAAGCTCCAGGTATTGCTGATCCATAGCTCACACAATGAATAGCAATGATTCAGATAATCTGTGAAGTGAAAGGTGACAGAAAAATGCTTGAAGAAGGGAAGAATTTTGATGTCCTTGGGTTTTTTTGTTTGTCTATACTACTTGAATTTTTCTTCACTTGATGCTGTATACAACCTTTCTGTATACCAAAAGCATAGTACCAAAGCATAGTTCTTTTTAAAAATTAGTTTTTATTTTTAATTGGCATCCTAGTGGTAAATTTATTTAATTAATATGTAGATAGTTCTAAATTTTTATAATGGAGAAACAAAAGGTACCCTTGCTCTTTAAAGAAGCTGTCTTCTTTAACACACTAATGCCATTTTTGTTATGATAAAGTGGTGTCCCCTGGGTGACTAGCAGTGTTCTGAGTAGCAAGGGAAACCACTGAAGAGACTGTGCATGTTTATTCTAACCTCAAACCAGTTGAATATATTATTAATGTTATTGGCTATTTGAAGTTATTCTGTCTTGGTCTGCTTTTATGTTTACTTTATCCAATTACATTTTATTATGGATAGCTTCTACAAATAAAACAAAAAGACACAACCTAAATAGAATTTGGGTCCTTCGTTAGCTCACTGGAATCACAAAATAGTTTCTATGTCTTTAGAATTAAGTAAAATATTAGTTTTTTTAATTACTATGAACCAAACATCCTTTTTGCAGCATTTACTCTGCAGTCCCCAATTTGAATTCTGAATAATTTCATCTAGAGGTAACCTGTTCATATTTGTTCATTTCTAAACTTCTCTGCAGATTGAGAAGTGATTCTCTTTTCTCAGAATGCAATTAGTAATAGTTACTCCCTAGACATAGCACTGTACTGGCGAGAGCTGCTATCTTCCACAGAGTAAAATCTTAGAGAAAAATAGTTTAAATTCAGTCAGACCCTGCAGCCAGAAAGCATCCATGAGTTCTCCCTTCCAAAAAATCAAACAAAAAAAGCCAATTTCATGTTGTTTAGTTGGGCTATGGTGGCATCATTTACAGGTACCATTTTCAGAAAAAATGGTAAGGCTTGGCCAGTTTGCATTTTAAAAGAGCATCTAAAATCATTTCCTTCTCCCACACTCCAACCCTAAATTTAAGCATAAGTGGATCACCAGATGATATCGTTCTGCTTTTTGGATTAAAAAAACACAGTGACTGGGCATACTGCTATGTTTTTTCTAAAGAGGAAAAATATATTGAAAAGCAAATCCAGTTGACTTATATTGTTCTTCTGATAAGTTATGTTCAATTTCAACTCACAGACTTATGGCAAATAATTCATACTACTCAGAAGCAAAAGGAAAAGCCTGAAACTTTTCACTTCTGGGAAAACACACATTGAACATGGCAGTCTACTAGGCCAGGACTTAATTAGAAAATATTGATACTACAGTTACATAACATTTATTTGTATCAAGCGCAGATATCCCTTTGGGAATAATTACGAGCCTCTCTAAATTCCTATTAAAAGTAAATCTCTAAAATCTTTCCCACTTATTATTAAAATGACTTTTAATCAGATACCAAAGACAAAAAAGAATTCTATTCTTTAAAGCAAGCAAAATATTTTTAGAAATTACTGGAACTAGTTTTTAAAAATTTGATTAGATTTTTATTTTAATTCCTATTCATAAAAACACATTCATGACTTCATAACAAAAATCTTTCTGTCAGGTTTGTGCGATGTACAATATTGATGCAGTTCAAGTCATGGCCTTTGATGGCTGTTACCATGACAGTGAGATTGACAAGGGCCAGAATTCCTTGTCTACCCACTCAGAAGAGGATTCCATTCAAGGGCAATGCACAGCAGCCCTAGTACAGATTTGTCTTGCATAAAGAGAAGAAAGTCCCTAGGAAGACATGTTGGTAGAATTATTCTGGAGAACAATCATGACATTGATACCTATTCAAGGATATTATTTCCCACTGTGTATATTCTATTTAATTTGTTTTACTTGGGTATATATATATGAAGAAGAATTCCTCATGTATAAAACTTGTTTGGAGTCAAAACATATTATAAGTAACAACTTCTTGTGCTAAGAAGTTACAAGATAGCTATCTGAAGTGGTAGGTAGGCTGTCACCTCTTCTGACCTACAGAAGATTTGAAAGTTTTCTGATTTACATTTAGGAAAGAATTTAGTTCCTTGAAGAATTTTTACTGGCTAAGTGTCGTAGGCTTGCATATTATTGAAAAACAATTTCCATAGGAAGGGCTTTGTAGCTACTTTACCTAAACTCTCTTTACTTTCTAAATGTAAATGTTTTGTATTTAACTAAGGAATAAATTTGGACATGACAATAATTCAAGGAAAGTTTGTTCCTTAGTGCTGTCTTAGAGCCAGATTACCTAACAGAGCTGAACCCTCTTAAGGAAGAGCATCTCTGTCAAGGTGGAACCATGACACTCACATCGCTGAGATTCCCATGAGAACCTCCCTCTCTGCTTTTCAATCAAGTCTTTTATCTAATTTCAGTATCAAGTTTTATGATATTGAATCCAAGGTATACAAAGAAAATCTACAGTCTTTCCAACCTAATGTTAAATTAACACTTCAATCCTTCAGTCTTCAATAATAGCATCTTGTATTTTGCAGGTGAGGCACAGCTTTCATAACTTTTCAGGAACTATTTAATTAGTTACTTTATTCAACAGATGTTTATTTACCATCCACATGTACCGGGAACTTTGTTAAGTGTCATAAACTAAAGAGGGAATGCAAAATAGCATTCCTGTCCTCAGTGAGTGCACAGCCTAGCAGGAACTGTGAGCAGGTAGCAATAATAAATAATAAATGTAACACGTTAAAAATTTGGTACACTGTGCTATCTTAGTTATGAAAAGGGAATACAAAAAGCAGGAAAAGAATATCTACAAAGGCATGTGAACTCCCAATTTATAAACAACTGAAGATGTTCCCAGACATGAGTAGAAAACTGAATAAAATTTGTGTATCCCATAGTAATCATTAGTAACTTTGGCTGAACCCAGTAAAGCAGGCCAAGTGTGTTTTAAGTAAATGTTGAGTAGAAAAACCTCCAGTGGGGCCTCCCTGGTGGCAAAATGAGTTAAGACACAACCTGTGAGTCTGTCCACAGCCTCTGCAGCACTGAGTTCCAATCCCCAGCCGGCCAAGGAGCTACCGACATGGTGCAGCAAACTACTCTTGACTCACCCGCTGTGCCCCTCAGCAGTGTACTTTGGTCAATCTGCCTGTTCTGTGTTCTCCACTCTGTCTCTGGTGAATCCTCTCACCCCCCGCACTTCTGGCCTGCACCCCAGCTCTTGTATGCATAAATAAAAAAATATTTAAAAAAAAGAAAAAAGAAGAACCTCCAGTGATCAGCATTCAATTTGTAATTGGTAGTGTGCATGCTTTTGTGTTGAGTATTTTGTGGAAAAGTCTCCATTTAGAGTTAAGTTTTGGTAGAAAGTATGAAGTATTTCCCTTCATATTTTTATTTCTGGCATTGAAATAAGGAACACAAATTAATTGGTACATTAACTTTCAGTATATTTCCATTTATTTCACCATAAAGTGAACCAAAAAGATTTGAGTTATTTTATGTTAGGTGAAGAGACAAATATCTTTGCTTGTTTACTGGTGATACTGGTTTTGGTTCTCTGTTGTCAATGACATGGGTTTCTTGAAACTTCTTTACCTCTTGGGTGCAAAAGATTTAAAGGCAAATTCTTTCTCTATTATGACGTCCCTTAAGGCAGGCTTATTCTGGATACTTCGTTCTATTTTCTTAATACAACTTTTCCAATTCTTCAAAACTTTCCAAGGATTATATTTTTCTAGGAAACTGCCCAAAATTGAGCTAATATAATTTTTTTAAAAATCCTTGTCAATTTAACTGTAGATAAACCATGTAAAATTTTAAACTACTTAGTACTATTTGAGCTTGACTTAAAAGGAATGTATTTCCATAGAATTATATTTTCAAAATACAGGTTAACTTCTTTGGTTTATTTATTTATTTTGAGAATTTATAGCTATTATTAGGCAAAATACTCCAGCTGAGTTCACATTCCTGATTTGGACATACCCTGTTTGTAATTGATGTAGAAGAACAGACAAATCTACTAACAAACAGAACAAATCTGTACTGTTACCTTCTTCCAGCTCTAGTTCTTCAGACATTACTGATTTTCTTCTACTTTGAACTATAACATTCGGCTATCTAATGCTTCCCCTGGGCATATTCATTTCACATTTTAAATCAAACGCATTGCTGAACATGTTTGGCAATGTAGCGAGAAGATTAGGTCTCCATCATACCACACATACGCTTAGCATTCCTCCTGAGGATCATTAATGCACTATTGCTGGCCAATCAGACGTAACTTTTGTTAATGTCTAGAAATGTAGGCATTGTGCTCTCCAGTAATAAATGTCTAAAATATGTTTACTGCTCAAGGGAATTATTCAGAATGAGCTCCCAGCTTTAACCAGTTTTCTTCTCAAATCTTGTGAAGACTGTTCATGTAAAGACCTTGCTATTCCTGTTCACTCATTTTTACTAACAAGCAACAAGATTTCTGGTTTGGTTATTATTTCAAGAAGAACGGAAATCACAGTTACTTGGGAAATATATGAGTTATGGACAGCATGTAACAGCTACCTCACTTTGATTTTCACTTCATTTGCTGATCACAATCCAGAACCAACCGTGCGTGATTGTCCACTGAGGGATAAGCTTGGATAAAATTTGAGCATTTCAGAAATATGCTTTCTAAGATTAAAAAAAAAAAAAAAAGAGTCAGCTCTAAACTGCCTGAATATAGAAATGGGCTATTTTATAGGAACTGCTGTGGAAAACCAAAGGAAAGATATATTTTAACCATTTTTTTTCTAGTTATAAAAAGTACTATTTCATTTTTAAAATTAAAAATGCCCAATGGCAAACATCCATTCAGAATTAGTTAACGTTTTAATGTATATTCTTAGTTTTTCTATGTGTAATGTATGTTTTTCTGACAGAATCATTTTGTGCATAATTTTTTTATTAGTTTAAACACGTGTTGTGTCAAACCTTGTACTGGGGATACATTAAGCAAAGTTAGACATAGTCCCTGACTTATTGAACTTAATTATATTTGGTAATGTGTATAAATTATGCCATTTGCAGTCAGGTTTTCTTGTCTGAATTATAAACAACTTTTTCATTTTGGTTTTTTTTTTTGAAATGTTAAATTTTATGTATTTATTTATTTATTTGTTTGTTTGGTTGCAGAGCAATAGGTGTACCACCAAATAGGTACACTAAATTTTACTTAACCCATCTTCTCCTGTGGAACTTTTGCTTTGTGACCTATTGTGTGTTATTATAGTGGGTTGTAATATACAACATAAAGAGTATTTAGAAATAAAATTATTTTGGAAACCAAATTTTTAGCTGTATTCAAATTTCAACATGTTATCTTTGTAAGTAATCTGTTTGCCACTAGACTCTGCCATGTCAGATTCATTCAGGCTCCAGGGTGTACATTACTGTAATTGAAGAAAATTTGTTTTTAGTTTATTTTTCCACAAAGTAGAACTTTCATTCATAGATGGGCAGATACAGAGATAGATCAATCGATGCACTGGCATTCCCTTTATATAAATAAGTTTCCACAATGTATCAAATACTATATTAAAGCAGTTCTATTTACTGAAAATCTGCTTCCTCCCATGATTGTAATTGGTACCACATCTTTGTAAGGGGGAGAGTTAACTGAGATTGCAAATATTTGCATATGAATTGCTACATAATCATTAATTTAAGATATATTATCTTAATCCTTGCAGGTGGTTAGTTTTCATGAGCAGACTATATCATTTTGTATTGTGCCATTTATAAACCCATTCAAACCACACACAAGCGCGTGTGCGTGCGCGCGCGCGCGCACACACACACACACACACACACACACACACAGAGGCACATAACTTTTTTTTTAACAAGGAGATTAATGGCAAAGGGAATTGCACCTAACTCTATACACATTATTAAGGTCAAAATTCCAATAAGATTAATCAAAGTCTTCAAAGAAGCAACAGAAACAATGGCAAGGAAATTGCTATTTCAACTATAATTCTGTACCTGGTGCTGCTGTTATTTCTTGGCAGGGCCTTAGGGAAAGCAGTCAGTTCCACTCCAACTACCTCATTTATAGAATGGAGCCACCTATTTTTTTCCCTTGTAAACATTGCTTTAAGTATTTCAAAGAAAAGGAAAGGGTCAAGGAAATCCAAAGAAGCAGGTAATCAAGGCAGTCATTATCTAGAAAAGTAGGTCTTATCTCAGAGTACATGAGAACAGGGTGATCATTTTTCAAAATATGAATTAGTGGGGGGATTTCTCAGCTTGTGCTTCTTTCTGGGAGCATTGAGGCTCAAATGATGTTCAACAGTGTCTGCTGTTCTTCTACTTTTATTCACTGCTGTGTTGTGCTTTCTGACCAATAATAGGGTCAAGTGTGGAACAGAGATGCCTGGCCACTGGGAGAAACTACAATAGATGTCTTTTCAATATATTAATAATTTGTTGAAGGGAATATTGAACTAGATTTTACTAACTAGGTCATTTGAATGATGAGATATTACTTTTAATCCTAGAATCAATACAATTCATTACTGAATTACAGAATACAGACCAATACAATTCACTATAGAATTATAGAATTATATTTTCTACAAGATCGCTTCAAAGGCTTCCTACAAAATTGTGCTGCAATTTGATTACTTGCCTCAGGCAATCAAAAGTAGAGGGCATTACAATGTCATTAATGATTATTTTTATTTTATTTATTTATTATTATTATTATTTTTTTTTGTGGGACCCTCACTGGTGGTCGGGGAATGAACCAGCGCTGCAGAGGCTGCGGACAGCCTCGCAGCCCAGCGCTTAACCGCTGCGCCACCAGGGGAGGCCCAGTGATTATTTTTAAATCTATTGTGTAGTAATAAGACTTTCTGGAGTTTGATATACAAACCTATGTATTTTGAAAAGTGACTTGTAGGTTCTAGTATTTCTAAGACTAGTTAACTGAACAGGCAGCCTAAAAAAGGAAGTGCTTGCTTCCACTTACCTCTTCAGAGAGCATTAATGCATGTGTCTCAAGTGCTTTGCACTTTAAAAATGTGTTATAAACACAAACCCACACATCAAATACATTTTTAGAGCAATCACACAAATAACTTAAAATATATTTTGTTAACTAGGTTGTATCTTGGTGAGGTCATATTTATTTATTTATTTTAAAGATTTTATTTTATTCATTTATGCACACAAGAACTGGGGTGTAGGGCCTCCCCGGTGGTGCAGCGGTTGAGCGCTGGGTTGCGAAGCTGCCCGCAGCCTCTGCAGCGCCGGTTCAATCCCCAGCTGCTCCCAGGCCACCAGAGGAGGGTCCCACATGGTGCGCAGACCTCTCCTGCTGCCCGCTGCTCCCCTCAGCAGTGTACTTCAGTCTGCCTGCTCTGCTCCCCGCTCTGGCTCTGGTAAATTCTCTCACCCTCCCGTGCTTCTGACTGTACCCAGTGCTTGTATAAATAAATAAAAATAAATCTTAAAAAAAAAAAAGAACTGGGGTGTAGGCTAGAGATAGGGGGGGTGGCAAGGGGATGAGAGGATTTACCAGAAAGGAAAACAGGCAGACCAACTGAAATACACTGCTGAGTGGAGCAGTGGGTGAGACAGGAGAGGTCTGCTGCGCCATGTAGGATAGCTCCCTGGCCAGGGATTGAACTCATGCTGCAATGGCTGCAAATACCTTCATAGTGCTGAGACTTAACCCCGTGTGCCAACAGGGAGGCCGTGAGGTCATATTTAAATTAGATGGTGCATCAATGTGCAAGGACCCTCAGGACCTGTTAAACAGCTTTTAAGTAAATCTGCACTTTAGGCAGACAGAAGATAAATAAAAGGTTTTATGAAAATGAGCTCTAGTAATTTAATGTGATTTATAAAAATAATTTGAATTAAAGATAGGAGAGAAAAAATAAGTCATAAGGAAGACAAGGGTGGAAGCTAAATATATGTGGTTAATCCAGAAAATGAACTCCTTAAAGTCCTGTGGCATATGTCTTGGGGGAAGATTTGAATTTGAATATAGAATTAATTATATTTAATTATTTTGAATGATATCCCAGTCTGGATTAATGTTAATCAGATGGTTATTACTCATTTGCACAAAAGAGTGTGTTGTGTGTCTTTGGGCAATCAAAGGAATTAATTACATGGCAGTCACCAAGTAATCAATATAATAAACCAGTGTGACTGAAATAATCACCTCATTTCAAATTATTCAAGTTATTAGATTCACTTTGAGTCTATCATGGACAGTCTCACTTTTTTTCAGTGAATGTACTGATAGAATTTCTGGTGCATTCTATTTTGGTTAATGTGGCTTATCCATGTAGCGTATTGCTGAACCATATTTTATGTGAAACAATCCTACTTTGTGGTTGTACAAATAGAAATGACTTCATTTTTCAGCAATCACTGTCAAATATGCTCTAAGTTTTGCCTATTCACTATCTCCCACTTGTTGGCATCTCAGGTAGATCCCACAGCTTTTTGAATATTAACCAATCAACAAGCACAGGGCTTCCTTACCCCTCCCTTGCCTGGTTTCCTGGCCTGGGAGTCCCATTTTATTTCTGTTCCTTTTTTCCTCAATAAACTTTTTCTTTCTCTAAACAAAAAAAAACAAAAACAAAAACAAAAACAAAAAAAACCCCAAACCCCCCCAAAGAACAAGCACATATATTCATAAATATATATATACTAACCACTCATTATAATAATACTCATTTTCATATATAAAGCCCAGGTTGACCTCCTTTCCCCAGCTCAGGCCGAAACCCTGTACTGAAGACATTGTCCTAGGAAGAAGGTAAAATCTGCTTTTAAAGAACATACCTCTATCTCACCGTCCAATGAATGGATGGGGAGGATTAGAAAAATAATTGGCAAATATCTTCTTACTTCAATGATATATATTTCAGCTTTCTTGGTTTGTGATGTCCTCTGGGCACCAGATAGACCAGCTTCATGAAATGCAACCAATGTGGTCACCTAGGGCAATGCCCATGTGGTTTAATGCTCAGCAGTTGCCATCTTGAAAGTTTTAATATAATCTTTGAATTTGTTTTGTTAAGTCTGTTGGAACAACAGAACTTGTTGTTGTAGCTTGTCATGTTGATTCTGCCTTTTGCACACTGTGAGTTGGCTTCTGGACATTGCTTTCCCAACCCCCTAGGCTACCTTCCACCCCTGGTGGTACTAAGTGGTAATATCTAACTATAATATAGTGTAAGGTTAAAAGCTGGGGTAGAAGTCACCTCTAAAGCAATGGTTTCCCTCAGGAGATATTTGATTAATGTCTAGAGACACTTTAAGTTGCTACAACTAGAAGTGTGGGCATTCTTGGTGTTTAATGGGTAGAGACCAGGAATGCTCATGACAGTCTAGGATGTACAGAACAGGCCTGACAACAATAATCAGTCAAAAATGCCAATCATGCTAAGTTAAGGACCCTGCTATAAGCCAGGCTGACTATAATACCAATACTGTTTTACATTGTCTCTAGTAGATATTTTGAAGTAAAAAATAAAGAGTGAAGTATATTGCCGGTATCATGGAAAGATTTTTTTTTTAAAGATTTATTTATTTATGCATACAAGAACTGGGGTACAGGCCAGAGGTGTGTTGGGGGGGTAAGAGGATTCACCAGAGACAGAGCAGGGAACAGAACAGGCAGACTGACTGAAATACAATACTAAAGAGAACAGCAGGTGAGACAAGAGAGGCCTGCTGCACCATGTGGGTAGCTCCCTGGCTGGGGATGGAACTGGTGCTGCAGTAGCTGTGGATAGCTTCATGGGTTGCATCTTTTTTTTTAAGATTTATTTATTTATTTATACATACATACATACATACATACATACATACATACATACAAGCACTGGGTACAGTCAGAAGCACGGGAGGGTGAGAGAATTCACCAGAGCCAGAGCGGGGAGCAGAGCAGGCAGAAGGACCGAAGTACACTGCTGAGGGGAGCAGCGGGCGGCAGGAGAGGTCTATGCGCCATTTGGGGCGGCAGAGGATCGAACAGGCGCTGTAGAGGCTGTAGGCAGCTTCACAACCCAGCGCTCAACCGCTGCGCCACCGGGGAGGCCCCATGGGTTGCATCTTAACGCCTTGCCACCAGGGAGGCCCCAAAGATTTTTTTTTAGTAGTCTCTTCTAAAAGGGCTAAATTTGAATTGAACACCGACTTTCTCTGACTAGAATCTGATAGGAAGCTTTGTCGTTCTAGTGGGAGGCAGATAACAGTGAAAAAGAACAAATAGTTGACTTGCTGGGTTTGGCTCCAATCTTGTTTCTTTTCCTTCTAGCTGTGACTTTGTGCACGTTCCTTAATTTCTCCTGACTCAGTTTCTCCAGCTTAAAATGGAGGTAATGTGGCGAGGAAAAGGTGAGCAGTCTATGAAACATCTATCATGGTGCCTGACAGACAAGAAGAACTCAATTCAAGGCTTACTATTGTTAGTTTTAGGCAAATATCACATGGGTGTAATTGTTTCATATGCTCATGTGTTTACTGCACTGGGCCATCAGAAACAGCTCCTGTTCTCAATCAGCTTGACAGAATGAAAGATTTCCTTTGGGTCCTCCGGCTGTCTAAGGCAGGCCAGGGCAGGGGTGTGCTGTTGTTCCCCTGACCGCTGGTTAGATCTAGAGCCTTTCCAGAGCTAACATTCAGACTATGAGTCAAAAGGAGAAAATCTTAGGCCTCAATTACTTAAGTAAATGCTTTTTTTCTTTGCTTCTATAACCATAGTCACAAAGAACTTCCAGTATCCTTTTAAACCAGGATTCTCTCTGGGGGCAACACGATACAAATTGCAAAGCAGCACAGCACAGCATAGAGAGTGGATGAAAAAACGATGACATAGCATGGACCACCAGTTCCCTAAACTTGGGCAGCTTGCTTCCCTTCTCCGGGCCTCAGTTTCCTCATTCATGTAAGCAGTAGGGTTGCAGCAGATGACTTCCCCAAATCCAGATGCTCCTCCTGCCTCCCCTTATAAAGAAAATGCCAGAAAAACAAAAAAAGTTCATTTATCCGAAGAAAGAAACATGCAGCCGTGGACACAGAACCTCCTTCAGCATCCCGGAGCAGGAAGCGCCCCTTAACCTCCGACTCCAGGCGACTAGGGGGCGGGCGCCAAACCGGGGCGCCCCACCTCCCCGCAGTGCCCCACCCCTCCGCGCCTGGCCTTCTGTGCTCCTCCCACCCGCGCCCCACCCCTCCGCTCCTGCCCTCCTTGCTCCGCCCGCTCGCGCCCGCCCCGCCGCGCCCCGCCCCGCTGTGCTTTGCCCCCTGCGCCCCGCCCCGCGGCGTGCGCACGCCGTCCCGCCCCCAGCCCGGCGGCCGCCGCGTGGGCTCCCGGCCGCGCGCAACAGGCCGAACCGGTGAGTGGGGGTGTCTGACCCGCCTCTCGGCGCCTGGGGTGGCGGGGCTCGGGGCCTTCTCCCCGGAGCTCGAGCGCGGGCTGGCGGGGTGGGCTGCCGCCGGGGCCTCGGGACGGCCGAGCCAGCCCGCGGGCGCTGCTGGCGACGGGACCCGGGGCGCGCCCCGGCACGCGGGTGAGGCGGACGCGCCGGGCCTGGCGCTGCTGGCCCCGGGCCGGGGCGCGAAAGGCCTGGGCACCAGAGGAGCGCGCTTGCTTGGCCGGGGGTCTCGGAACCGGGGAGGCGCGCCAGGAAAGTTTGGAGGTTCGTCTGGCAGGACGGGGCGGGCCTGGGCCGCGGCGGCTGGTTGGGAGCGCGGCCGCCACGTGCGCTCTGCTCCCCGCGCGTCGGGTCGGGGCTGCGAGGCCGGCTTGACAGCCCGGGCGCCCTAAGCCGGGCTGCGCCTCTTTACTCTCTCCTAGCGTGACTTGAAAATTGGATTTTTGCGGACTGGTTCATTCACTGGGCAATAACTATTTCTAGAACCGTCTGCCGCACGGTTGGGTTGTCCAACAGGTTAATACCACCGGTTGGTTCGGTGTGTTTTCAGAAGTGTGGACCAGGGACTGTCATCTGCATCCGATTCTGCCATTGGTTGTAAATTAGGCGCAGGCGTTGATTTCACTGGCCTGGTCTTTAAATGGGAACAACCTGATTTACCCAGCTGCTTCCGTTGGCGCCTCTCGGGTCTCGTCCATTGCAAAGTCATGGTCACTAAAATACAGTCATGAGATCTAGTCCATTTTCTTTCTAAAATAGAATTAAAAAGATAATGCCAATCAGAGCATTAGCCGCAGGATGCCAGTTAGTCCTCTCTGAAGTGATAAATATTTCTGTGAACCAGATGTTTTATTTACGTCAGCCTAGGCACCTTGTTACAGGCAACAATTTTTGTCAGTTGTTTAAAGTGTATATTTAGTTGAGTTTGACGGTTGCCCTCTGTTGTTGGGAATAAAATTCATATGGGGGACTTAAGTATGTTAGTGCAGGTTTCTGAACCCCAGCTACCAGAAGTGTTAATTCATTCAGACCCAAAAATTTGTGTAGACAAGGGTTCCTGATGGAAGAACACTGCTTCGCAGTTTAGAACGGCAAGCACACCTCCCTCCCTTCTCTGGTTGGTAATTTTTACCTGATGTCTGAGTCTTTTAGCTGTGACACTACTATTAAATGCCCAAGAAAGCAGCTGCATTCGAAAGATCAATCCCCATTAAATGAACCATTTGTTTTCCCCCAACTCTTGTATAAGGCTTTTGAGAGTTTTTCCCCCTAAAATTAATACAAAAAGATGTAAAAGGGAAACAATTCAGCCAGCAGACATTTCATGAGGACTTTCTATGTGCCACAGCCCATCCCAGGCCCTGGGAATATTCAGATGGTTGTCCTCTCAAGAGTCAGGTGTGACTGAATTGTAAGTTTTACTACAGAAGAAAAGGTTACACACTTAAAAATATAAAGGCTGTGCTACATTTGCTGGCCATAGAATGGATTCCAATGTTGATTTTCATGTAGAGTTTTAATCCTTCAAAGTTCTCTGAGCAGTAACTAAAATATGAGCTGTGGAATCTTTTGACTTAATCTTTTTGCTTTTTAATGCTAGTTGCAGCTTACATTGGAAACAGTGTATAAAAATAGTTACTGGAATATTTATATCTCCCATTTAAAAACATTTGCTCTAATTTCTGTTTGGGTGGTCTGTGAAGTTAGGCAAACTTGTGTTGGCTGTTCTTTCTTGATATCATATTTTCTTGTTTACTGTATTTGTATGAGTCTAAAACACGCTTTTTATTTTTACTGTGTCTGAAATTGTGATAAATTTTACAACTTTAGTATGTTTAGTGTATTTGGTCGCCCATTCTCCAAAAGTTCTTAAGGAATGGTTGTCTTACAAAATGGGTAGTGTGATGATCAGAGAAATAGTGAATTTGCCCAGTAACCTCTAAGCTAGGTTCCAGTTAACTGAGCCACGAATCATTTCAGTGCGAACGTAGAGAACAGTAAGTGGTGTAACATTTGGCAGTACAACAAGTGAAATTTGTATTTTAACAAATGCACTTGTTTTGTAGTATTGGTGTTGTTTTGTTAGTGATTGGAAAAATGCTTTATTTCTGGTTAAGTATTTTGCACACTTAGCCATAGGTTCTGGTGAATGTACTTATATGTATATATATTGTGTTTCAAGAAAACAGGCCTTCACACATTCCTTAAACTGACATATTGTGAGGGATAAGAGATGTATGACTGAAAATTTAAATTACTTTTTCTTTATAAGTACATTTAATGATGCCAGCATTCTGAGCCAGTCTAATATTTTGTTTTCAAAAGTAAATATGAGCAGTGTATCAGGTGATCCCCAAGACCAGTCCCAGGTTTGGTCAATTAAGACTCACAGGTGATTTATTACAGTAAAAGGAGGCCAGGCACTTAATTGTTCCAGCAACTAGTTGTGAAAACATGGAATTGCTAACCTAGGAAGCTCATTAGCTAATGCCCAGGGTCACATAGGCACACTCTGCCTGAGGTGTATCAGAATTTCCAGAAGGAAAGCAGGAGTTCAGTATAATGGCTTTGTACAATGTAGGACAGTGAGTTGCTCTTATAAGTTACTGGTGGTAGGAACCCTCCTGAAATTTAAGTTCCCAGAAGTCAACTACAAGCTGGTCTTTCAAAGGATAGCATAACTGCTGCATAAGAATTGCCTTTGCTGAATCTGTCTGTTCATATCTCCTTGAAAATTTAAATTACTTTTTCGTTATAAGTACGTTTAATGATGCCAACCTTCTGAGCCAGTCTTTCTACAGTATTTCTAGGTTTTAAAGAGTAGCTATACTTTGTCTCATGGAAGCCTTGATTTTTTTTAGTTGAGAAATTAAGTTGATCTAGTAATTTAAATAGAAAGCATTTTTTAGAAGTCTCATTGATGACGTACCCTAAAACACTAAAGTTTATTTCTAAGTTTACACCTTTACCTCTCCAGTGAAAACTTTTAGTATCGGTTTGTATTGGTTTTCCTCCACAGGCGGTGTTTCACTACCAGCATTTTGTATGGCATCTTTTGATGGAACTGAGCTATTTGTGGATACAAAATTTAGATACTAAAAAATGAGGCCTTTAGAGTTTTGTGTTTTGATGTTTCCACTTCCTAATTTGTTCACTTTACATCTGTGATGCAGTCTCAATGTTTATGAATTAGTTGTTGCAGTGTGTGACACGTTGCTCCTGGGTGCATGCTTTCCACCTTCCATTTCTGTTACCGAATGCCAGTTTCCTTTTCCCTTGGCCAATAAAAGGAAACAGCTTGAGAAGGAAGGTATTCAATAATTTTATTTGTCTACAAACTGAGGCGGGCCAGTAGACAAGTACTGCCCTGTTTTTTGGCAGAGGGCAGGGGTGTTTATCCAGAGTTACATGGGAGTAGAAGGGGGCGTGTCCAAGGGTCCGCAGGTTATCCTTGTAACAGGTTGATGCCAGCTTGCTTTTGCCATCACCAGGAGGTTAACAGTTCAGAGTGTTACCTTCCTAGTGATGCTCTTTTCCATCAGAAATGTAAAGGAGATAGGAATGCCTGTCTGGTGGGGCAGAAAAGAAGCCTTTTATCACTGTATTGTTTTCAATTCTGATAACCCAATAAAGTAGAAAACAATAACATAAATAAAATACTGGTCTTGGGGAAGTTGCTTTTTATAAGCACAGTCGTAATTCTTCACCGTTTTTGGAGACAGATGACTTTAGGAATTTGGTGAAAGCAATTCTCCCTGTCCCCCTTTCAGAAGGAAAAAAGTTATTTAAGATAGAATTTTGTTTCAAGAAATTCATACAATTTGAATTACCATTTCTGAGGGTCAGATGAAGGACACCTGCATTATAAAGTGATTTTGAGGTTGTTCTGAGAAAGGCTTGGCCATGCTTGCATATGTCCTTACCTTGCTACATAAGTGTGGACTATGGACCAACAGCAGCAGCATTGCTTGCAGGCTTGTTAGTCAGAATCTCAAGCCCCATCTTAAATGTAGCTGCCCAGGTGATATGTATACACTGAAGTTGACGACTTGCTGTTATAGGTTGATAATGTTGGTATTTTCTTATGTCTTAGTTAAAAAGTTGTACCTTTTTTAAAAATTTTCTTTATGTATTTTTTACTTTTTAAAACAAAGTTTGCTCCCCCCACCCCAGGTGTAATCCCCATAGAATTTCCTTCACCAGTGCACCCAGGCCCCATCACCACATTCCCCTCTGCCCCCTCCCTCCTTCCTTTTGATCCCTCTCCCTCCCCTGCAGTATGTTTCTGGTTTATAATTGTTGGTTTTGTTGTGTTTTGTATTGTTGGTTTTTTTCCCCTGATGTCTTATTTGGTTCTCCTATATTCCTCTTATAAGTGAAACCATTCGATATTTTTCTTTTTCCTTCTGGCTTATTACACTGAGCATAATTCCTTCTAGCTCCATCCATGTTGCTGCAAATGGCATTAGTTTATCTTTTTTGATTGCGGAATGGTATTCCATTATGTATATATACCACATTTTAATCCAGTCACCAATTTTTGGGCATTTGGGTGGTTTCCAGGTTTTACCTATTATAAATAGTGCTGCAATAAACTGGGGTACAGGTGTTCTTTTGAATCAGTGTTTTGTGTCCTTTGGGTAGATCCCTAGGAGTGGAATTGCTGGGTCATATGGTAACTCCATTTTTAGTAGACTGAGGAACCTCCTGACAGCTTTGCATAGTGTTTGGGCCAGTTTGCACTCCCACCAGCAATGTAGGAGAGTTCCTTTTTCACCACATCCTCGCCAACATTTGTTGTTGTTGCTTGTTTTTTTTGATATGTGCCATTCTTACTGGTGTAAGGTGGTGTAGGGTAAAGAAAATATCAGGCTTTTCTGCCCTTCCGCCATCAGGATAGATGATGGATCCTTGTCCTGAATGCATGCCTGATGGCGGGCACCTGGAATAGGGTGTGGGCATAGGTAGATGGGATTCAGCTGGGCTAAGATTGTGCTTTTAAGGGCGGCGTCACGGGGACGCCAGTAGCAGCAGGAGAAAGCAGCAGTAGAAGCCGAAGCCGAAAGAGAAGCCGAGAAGCAGCAGAACCAACGCCAGAGAGCCCAGATAGAGTAAAGACTTGCTGAGGGCTGGGAGGCCTGCCAGCCTCCCAGCCCCCCAGCCAGCACCCCTGCCTGCCATATGCCTGGTGAACCCCAATAAAAGACCTGCAAAAACCACTGAGGACTCTGACTCCTCCTTTACCCGGTCTGCATGGGATCAGAAAATCTGCACTGTGCCCAGTCCTGCCCCTTACAGGTGGTATCTCAGTGTGGTTTTGATTTGCATTTCCCTGATGATAAGGGATGTTGAACATTTTTTCATATGCCTGTTGGCCATTTGCATTTCCTTTTTGGAAAAATGTCAAATTCTGGATTGTTTACCTTTTTTTGTTGAGTCGTGTGAGTTCTTTGTATATAATAGTTGTACTTTTTTTTTTTAAAGATTTATTTATTTATTTATACAAGCACTGGGTACAGTCAGAGGCGTGGGAGGGTGAGAGAATTCACCAGAGCGGAGAGTAGAACAGACAGACTGACGAAGTACACTGCTGAGGGGAGCAGCGGGCGGCAGGAGAGGTCTGCTCGCCATGTGGGACCCTCGCCTGGCGGCCGGGGATCGAACCGGCGCTGCAGAGGCTGCGGGCAGCTTTGCAACCCAGCGCTCAACCGCTGCGCCACCGGGGAGGCCCTAGTTGTACATTTTTAAAGACTTGATATGTAACTATGTTTAGCCTTCAATTTTCAGCCCTCTGTTTTTTTAATGAGATGGTTGATAAAAATGTCAATTTTCAGCATAAACTGAAATCTGGAAGTGAGATTGAGGCAGAGATTTGGGAGCAGGCAGCTTTGTGCTCCAACCACCTGATGCTACCACTGGTCCAGGGCCCTTTGATTGCCCTCCTGAGCACCAGGTGGTGCTGTGTTGGGCATTTGATGGTAATTCTCCATCAAGGGTTTGTAACTCAGAATACATATAATTAGATTTGGGACCTAGTACTAAATGAAGCCAAAATCAAGGTTTTTGATTTTGCTATATCAGTGGCCACAGGCTGAAATTGTAACTCGGAACAGCTGAAGTTCTTGAATAATTTGGATAATTATCCCTTCTTATAAATGGATAATTAATTCCACAGCTTAGGGCTGTGCACAACAAAAATGTGTTTTACTTTACGCGAATAGTGTTTGAGGTTGAAGCATCTTAGAACAAATGGTATTATCTTAAGGCTGTATCCTATCCTGGCGGAAATATCATTGACTTACAGACAGTTCTCATGAAGGCGAATGTTCACGCACATTGTATGTACATGATTTGCTAACCAACACTGGCACTCTTAGTAAACCTAACCACATGTGTTGTGTTCTTTCGGCAGGTTTGCAGGTCCTCCTTGCCTTGTCTTGAAGACAGAATGATGCCAAAGAAAGGGAAGGCTGCAGGGAATGGGAAGGAAGAGGGGCCTGTTCCCTGCAAACAGGTGAAGGTAGAGGCAGCTGGTGAAGCTTTCACTTTAAACTTTGACAGCCCCAATGGGTTGTTTGAAAGTTTGATCTCACCCATCAAGACAGAGACTTTTTTCAAGGAGTTTTGGGAGCAGAAGCCCCTTCTCATTCAGAGACATGATCCTGCACTGGCCACATACTACCAGTCACTGTTCAGGCTATCAGATCTGAAGAGTCTGTGCAGCCGGGGTATGTACTATGGAAGAGATATAAATGTCTGCCGGTGTGTCAATGGGAAGAAGAAGGTTTTAAATAAAGATGGCAAAGTGCACTTTCTTCAGCTGAGAAAAGATTTTGATCAGAAAAGGGCAACAATTCAGTTTCACCAACCGCAGAGATTTAAGGTAACAGGTTCTCCCCAATGAAGAATCCTCACTTGTATTAAAATGGTAACATTTGGGGCCTCCCCTGGTGGCGCAGCGGTTGAGCTCCGGGCTGCAAGGCTGTCTGCAGCCTCTGCAGCGCCGGTTCCTTCCCCAGCCACCAGCAAGGGACACACGCGTGCACACACATCCCTCCTACTCCCCCACCCCCCTCCCAAGCAAAAAATGCTAACATTTGGCCACAGCTTAGCTCAGGAATGAACCTGTGGCTTAATAATTACCCTCCTGCCAGCTTGGGAAGAGGTACCACCTGTTTCCTCTCAAGACGCTCCATCGTAGGTGATTCTGTTATCTTTTTGCTACACTTAGAATCTCCAACTCAGGATAGATACAAGTACCATTGAGCTGCAAAAACTATAATTATATTGCCAGTCTGTAAAGTTTATTAGCAAGCATTAACCTCCAGGAACATGTTCTTTGGGCTGGTTTATGTTTTGATATATGGTAAATATATCTGTTTGGTTTGTTCCATCATTATAAGACAGAATAGCATCAAGATGATCATTTTCTTCTTGAAGTTACCTCCCTTTACTGCCTACTCCAAGTAGAGACTTAAGAGCTATGACCAGATCATGCCAGGTGCCTGTTCAAGAAAAAGACTTCATAGTCTTTCAATAGACATGTGGGTGATATTGAGGGACAAGGCCCTGAAACTGTTCCTGTGGAGGTAGTCATAGGTAGAGAATAGCTTTGATTTGCAAGTCTGAAAGATTGGCGTATTTTTTTCTACATTAGTGATTAACATTTGAGATATAATTTTCCTCCTCTGTACTCAGTCTCTACATTTATAAAATGTGGACTGAGGATGAACTAATCTTTTACAGAGGTTTGAAATTTTTACATGACGGTGGCCCAGGGCTTGTTGAGTCCTGTTTTGAATTTTAGATAAAATTTTATCCAGATTCAGAAAAGCCCTTCTGTGACCCATGACTGAATTAAAATGTTAGCATGAGAGGAGGAGAGGGGTTTATGAGGTTTCATATTGAAGGTAGTAAATTCTGGCTGTTGGTCGCTCCTGAGATACTGTCATTTGCAGTGTTTCCCGTGACTGCATTGGACGGTTGCCTTGTTAGATCCCATTAGGCCTCATCTGGTCTTTGTCTTTCTTTGCTAAAGATCCTGAATCTGTCTGTGCTCTGAATGAAGTATAGTCTTGAGATTTTCCAGATACTCCATCTCGATTAATCAGAAGTTGAAATGTTCCTAGAATGCCAACTCTTTGGCCCTACCCCCAACAGGAATTTATAAATAGGGATTCCACGGTGTTTTTCCTTGAAAACAAGTTCTTGACTCTTTCTGGCTAGAAAATTTAGCAGTCTCATGACTATGAACACAAAAGATCAGTGAAGTTGATAATAAGTGATTTGGTCACAGACCTGAGGAAAGTTACTTGGTGTCTGTGAATGTCATTTCTGTAACCCTGCCTTGTTGATTGAGCTCTTTGGCCAGGTTTATTAAAGCAGAAAAGATGCACCGTTTTTTTCTCTTTTCACCACAAGTATTGGAAAGAGCCATAAGATGAATGAGCTAATCTTACACTAGAGACTGGGTTCTAAAAATTATATTAGGAGGGTTAATATTGTGTGTTTGTTTACAAATCAGCATATTACTATCAGGATAGAAAGTCTAAGGGAGTTATCACTAGTCAGGTTGAGACAATTAAACCGCCTCTTGTGTCTCTGAACATGCACAGCTTATTCTAGTAGTCTGCAGGTGAGGGAGGAGGTAACTAGAGATAAAAGTTGTTTCCCACCTGCTTTGGTTAATTCATATGTCAGAAGTCCCAGTGAATTTACCAAATACTTACACATGTGTTCAGTTTGAAGTATCTACAAACACTTAAAATAATTATGGTAGTTACTGTGCTCTCCATTTTACATTTAAGGAAACTGAATTTCACAGATGTGACTTTTCTATAACTAAGGACTAATTTTTTTTAGATGTCTTCTGACTCCAAATATAAGGAATTTTCCTAAAATACTTTGAAAGATATAATTTAGATGTAGGGCTTTTGACATGTTTGTTTTTGCCTTTCTGTAGGTATGTATATTGTCTTATCCATAGCATTCAGTTTTGATTGTGGGGTAGTTCAGCAGAGAGGAGGTTGTACCTAACCAGGAGAGAGGCTGCGTTCCCTTTTTCATTTTTCCGGGCACCTCTACACATAGTTGGGTGTCATGAGGTAAAGGAGAAGACATATTTTTGGAGCCTTGTTTGTTCCTGTCAGCATTGATATAGCAATAACATTTGTCACCTGCTTTGTAATTTAAATAGTTTTTGAGATAAGCTCTTTTGGCTGTTCCCCACAATCTTAGTAGAGGAGACTTTATTTTATAAATGAAGAAGCTGAAGTCACCAGGCTTGTAACTACAACTTCGACTGGGGCTGTCTGACTCCAGACCTCTTTCTAGTAGGCCACACCTGGCAGATTGGTCCAGGAAAATGGAAAAATTGTATAGTTGATAGTTTTCTGTGAACTTTAAGAACAAAGGAAGCATATCCGCATCAGTTACACACCCATCTGCCTGAGTTGGGAGCCATAAAGTTACTCATAGGGTCCTGAGACACCTCTTAGGTCATCTGAGAGAGGAGCCCTGGTCTTTTAGAGGTTCTACTCACTGTGTAAGTATGACTATAGAGCCAGGTCCTGCTGGCCCCTCCTTGGTAGCAGACCATTTGGGAGCTCTGTTAACTGGAACCATTCAGATGTCATAAAATTATTCTTTCTGTATTTAGTAGAAGCCCTAAAATCTGCAGAGAATTATACAAAGATGTCTCCCATTCAAATGCTGACCCAGTTGTATCCCAGTTGTATCCCATTTGATATTTTTAATACTGTAAGTTCTTTTTCAGTCTAATGGTAAAATTGACTCCACAACTGTGGACATTTAGTCAGCAAATACTTTAAATGTGTATTGGTGTCTTTTATGTGCCAGGTTCTGTACATTCACATGCTTGAAACTTTGGCTTCTTCAATGGCCTCTGCAAGTGATTTTAAGATAATTCCATAAAGAGGCAGTAGATTTGCATTTAAACTTATCAACTCTGGAGCCAAGCTACCTGGATTTGAATTCTGGCTCCATCACTTATTATCTGTGTGTTCTTGTGTCTTAATTTCCTCATCTGTGCCTATTTTAAGGGGTAGGTTGTTGGAAGGCTACATAATTAATGTACATAAAGCACTTAGAAACAGTGTCCAGCACTAGAAAGTGCTAATACCTATGTGACCTTATTATTCTCTTCCCTCTTGTCATCTACCTTGGAAAAGTCAGATTTCTTTCTTGCAGGAACATATGGCTCCTCTTTTGGCCTCTTAGTCTGACTAGACAGTCTGACCAGTTGTTTATTGCTGGAGAGAGGGAGCCTGACTCAGCCCGTTCCTCCTCCTGTCAGTACCCACTTCCCAGTTTATCATTACTCCTGTTGCTTTTGCTTTTTATAAATGGAAGCAACATTGATTTATAACATATAGGTTAATAATTTATAGCGTTATAAGTCATCTGTAAATGCTATACTAAGTGTACCACTAAAAGTGTTAATTCCATCATCATACAATTGACTCTTTCATCTGATTTACCCATCCCTTCCCTTCTGGTAAGCATTAATTTGGTGTTACAGTGTAAAATTTTATTTTTGTTTTAGTTCATTTGTATATGTTTGTGTGAGTGAGTGAAATCATAGTGTTTGTCTTTCGTCATCTGACTTATATCACTAGGCATAATACCTTCTAAAGTCATCCTTGTTGCACATAGTAGGATCTCATCTTTTTTTTTTTTTAATAGCTGAGTAATATTCTATTGTGTATATATTGCCACATCTTCTTTATCCAATATGTTGCTGGGCACTTAGGTTGTTTCCAACTCTTAGCTATTATAAACAGTGTTGTTCTAAACTTTCCTCTTAGTACTGCTTTTGCTGCATCCCATAGGTTCTGATAACTTTATTCATTTGGATAATTTGTATTATCACATCATTGTGATTAAAAAATATGCCTGATATTTCTATAGGATTCTCTTAATAGTTCCTTAATAGTTAACTGTTCCTTTTGTGCGGGGAGTAAAGTAAGAAATGCTCTATGTTGCCATCTTTACATTGCTTTAAATACCAATTTTGTGCAGGCAGTTCCCAAAGGAAATCTCCACATGGGAATCGTAGTAGCTCAAACTCAACATTTCTAATGTATATCTCTTCTTTCTCCCTCTTGAAAATTTTATTCTTTAGCAAGTCTTTGCCATTTTAATAAATGAAATTAGGAGCTAATTTCCCAAGTCAAAAACCAAGTTGTATATTTCTTTTTACTCTTTTCATTGTCATCTTTCTTACTTAGCCCTTCACAAGTCCTATCAGTGTTGCTTCCAGGGTGCATCTCGACTTTGCTACTTCTCCCCTCTCCCAGCACCTTGGCCATTTCTCCCCTGGGCTGCTGCCTTATAAACTTTTCCCTACTGATTTTTTTTTTTTTTTTTGCTTTTCTACAATCCATTCCTCATACAATAGCTAGAGTGAGCTTTTACTTTTTTTTTTTTTAAAGATTTATTTATGCATACAAGAGCTGGGGTACAAGTCAGAGGTGTGGGGGGGTGAGAGGATTCACCAGAGACAGAATGGGGAACAGAATATGCAGATTGACCAAACTACACTGCTGAGGGGAGCAGCAGGCAAGTCAGGAGAGGTCTGCTTTGCCATGTGGTTTCTCCCTGGCTGGCCAGGGATCCAACTGGTACTGCAGAGGCTGCAGATCACTTCATAGTGCAATGCTTAACCCTTGCTCTGCCAGGGAGGCCTAGAGTGAGCTTTTAAATGTAAATTGGTTCTTGTGTTGTCCTGCTTAAAATCCTTCAGGAATCCCAAAGATTGCCTGCATTGCCAGTCTCTTTTTGTTTCTGCCCACATCCTTTTTCTAAAATGGAAAATTCTTGAAGGCAGAGGTGTTGGCTTTTTTACTGCTGAATTCCTAGTATCTGCAATGTAATAGCTGTGCAATAAAGACTTGCTAAGTGAATAAGAACATATTCTTTTATTTCTAATATATTTTCACACCTCTCTCCCCACTTTTTTCTTTTAAAGGATGAGCTTTGGAGGATCCAGGAGAAGCTAGAATGCTACTTTGGCTCCTTGGTTGGCTCTAATGTATACATAACCCCTGCAGGATCTCAGGGCCTGCCACCCCATTATGATGATGTGGAGGTAAGAAACTTGCTCACCCTGGGAAAGGAGTTGCTGCGAGACCCGTTAGTGTAGTTGTCAGGGTTCAGTTGAACTCTTGGGCCAGGTCTCTGTCTACTCTTTATGGTCTCTGGAGATCTTGACCTCATCTGAATGTTGGGCCAAAATTAATCCACCAAACTGGTTTCCTGCTGCTTTTCTAAGGGAGAGATTGTTTCCAATCTTACTAATACAAACAACCACACATTCCTGTGAAACAGGTATTTTTTAAATTTATTACGGAAAGTGTGATTGACTTTTTCCTTAATTTGGTAACGTACGGTCTTTAATAAGGTAATGTCACACATCCTTAAATCTGCTTTCATTTTGTCCCTTTCTTTGTAGCTGCCCCAAATAGGTATTTTTTTAATTTGTGAAAATCTTGGGGCAGCTTGGATGAAGGTCATGGTTTCACTTAAACACTGGCACTGTGACAGATGTTGATTTCACACTCATGTGGCTGCCAAAAAAAGTTAACTCTTTGACTTAGGTGGTTTATAGTTTTATTTTTGTACCAATACAAGATATGAACAGTAAGTAGTAAAAAAACTTTTTTCCCCTTTGAGAGTACATTTTCCAAAAAATAAAATGTTTGAGAATATTTTTAACAAAGCATTAAAATATCTTTGAATGAAGAATAAAAAACTGGAATTTTCTTTCCTGCCGGGGTTATGTTCAGGATTTTAGACATTAATATCTGAAGTTGACTTTGGAGTAGAGATTATGGGTTTATAACAGAAGATTTGAAGGAATGAGATAGTGGGGTATACAGTAGGGTATAATGAACACAACAAGGCTTTACGAAGATGAAAATTATGAATAACCTTCCATTATCAGGGCTGGTGGTTACCTGCTTTTAAAAGAGAAAACTGGTAGTGGCTACTTTTATATGTGTGGTGTGAAATGCATCTCGAATCTTTCATTTTTATTTTTTTACCTGCAACTTGTAATTTGTCTAATCCTTAGAGGGCTAGTATTCTAGAAGCGCTTTGGCCATGAGTTGTTGGAAGCTCTCTGATACTCTGGTCCTGTGATTATAGGTTTTCATTCTGCAGCTGGAGGGAGAGAAACATTGGCGCCTCTATCACCCCACCGTGCCCCTGGCGCGAGAGTACAACGTGGAGGCCGAGGACAGGATTGGGAGACCGACACACGAGTTCACGTTGAAGGTACAGGAACTGTGATTGTGGGTGCCTCTCCTGAGACAAGTCCAGGTTTTGGATTTAGTGTTGGTGTAATGGTCCTCATGGGAATGTATTCAGGAGACAGGCAGGGTGGCTGTCATTCTAGTCAGCCAGCACATGGGGCTTCTGAAGGAGACTTGGTAGTTTTTACTTATAAAGTGAGCTGAGGAAGTATTAAGTTCATTTTCCCAGTAACTCTCTCCAGATGTAATCCAGTTTCAACAGGAATGAATTATGAATTTAGTGGCTGCTGATTTTTGTTTTTTAAAGCTTCTTTTCTTTTTTATTTTTTAAAGATTCATTTATTTATACAAGCACTGGGGTACAAGCCAGAGGCACGGGAGGGTGAGAGAATTCACCAGAGACATAGCAGGGAGCAGAACAGGCAGAAGGACCGAAATACACTGCTGAGGGGAGCAGCGGGTGTGACAGGAGAGGTCTGCTGCACCGTGTGGGAATCTCCCTGGCTGGCGGGGAATTAAACCCGTGTTGCAGAGTCTGTGGACAGCTTCACAGCGCTGTGCTCAACCCGCTGTGCCACTGGGGAGGCCCTGGCTACTTTTTCTAGAGTAAAAGTGGAAGTGACCTTGGGCAGCTTTTGTCATATCCTACAGCATGGTCAGCACTAGAGTGCAGGTTGCTTAGCCAGAGCATAGCCAGGGACTACTGAGCTTTTTTTTTTCCCTCAGTAAAATTTCAACTTGACCCATTTTGCTGCGGTTATGCAGTGCATTTTCTCTGTACTCTCCTCCTTTTCCCCTGGTAATTATGAAGGCATTTGCCTCCTCCTCGAGGAAGCCAGGTGGCTTGGTCAAGTGCTGGTTAGTGGGCATCATGCTGATGAGAAAGTCTGGACGAGATCATAGCCAATCCCCAGCAAGTGAGATTGTTGAGAAAAAAGAATTGCTCCACAATTCAATGTATACCTTTTCCTAAAAAGCACAAATTTAATTTTCTTCTGTACCATTCAAACCATTCCAAAGATTCTACCAGTGTGACACACATCCTCCATATAGTAGTTGTTATTGTATTTCTCATGTCTTAAAGAATTTGTTGGGAATTGTTACTCACTGGAATGTGTGCCTTTCTTGATTTTAAAATCTTTGCCTGCCTGCTAATAGCTGAGGGACGCAATCTCCCTGAGTGAGATGAGTGGGCACTTATATTTTTGGAGACTTAAATACAACAATAGAGGTGCTGCTGCCTTCATTTTTTTGTGCTCTTGTCAGCAAACTATGACCTATGCATCAAACATCTGACTTGCTGCCTATTTTGCAAATAAAGTTTGTTGGAACACAGACTCTTTATGTACTGTCTAGGGCTGCAGTCACATTACAATGGCAGTGTCTGTGAGCTGCCAGAGACAATGTGGTTCACACGTCACGAATATTCACTAACTGGCTTTTTACAGAAAGTTGGCCAACCTATACCCAAGGTGAAGCATGTTTATTTAGGCTCTGGTTGATTTTTTTTTTTTCAAACATTTTTTTTTAAAGATTTATTTATTTATTTATACAAGCACTGGGTACAGTCAGAAGCGCGGGAGGGCGAGAGAATTCACCAGAGCCAGAGCGGGGAACAGAGCAGGCAGAAGGACCGAAGTACACTGCTGAGGGGAGCAGCGGGCTGCAGGAGAAGTCTGCGCGCCATGCGGGACCCTCCTCCGGTGGCCGGGGAGCAGCTGGGGATCGAACCGGCACTGCAGAGGTTGCGGGCAGCTTCGCAACCCAGCGCTCAACCGCTGTGCCACTGGGGAGGCCCTCTGGTTGATTATTTTTATGCTGAAGACTAAGCCAAGGCTTAGCCAGAGCTAAGTTACCCAGACTGACTGTTTGAAGGTCAGGCTTCATTGGGTCTTCCAGTGTAGAGGAGGGATCTTGGGGGAGATGGAGCAGTACCTGTCAACTATGTCCATCCTCACCACAGTTCATTAAAAGAAGTTCTGAATCTCCTGGAAGGAGAGAGACAGCATTGTATAGTGTATAGTTTCTCAAGTTGTATGTCTATATGTGTGAGTTTTAATTGGGACTTTTTAAATGAATTCCCTGTGTAAGTGTTCACTATGTGAAATAGAAAAGCTTAGGCACCCTGGGGGAGGCAGTGAGGTGGGAGCTACAGTAAGAGGCTTGCAGCCCCTTTCACCTCTCTTCCTCTCTACTCCAGTTGCAGCCTGTGTGGCTAGGTATCCTGCCCAACTTGGAATCTTGGGTGAAAACCTTCCCTATAGTAGAAACATTCCATCCTGTGACTTGGGGGCTGGCAGACCTGATTTTGAATTTAGCTGCTGTCACTTAAGAGATGCTTGTCCTTGGTCAAGAGACTTATCTAAGTCTTAGTTATTTCATTTTATTTTTTATTTTATGCATATAAGAGCTGGGGTGTAGGCCAAAGGTGTGTGGGTGTGTGTGTGTGTGTGTGAGAGGATTCACCAGAGACAGAGCGGGGATCAGAACATGTGGATTGACTGAAATACACTGAGGGGAGCAGTGGGCGAGATGAGAGGTCTGCTGTGCCATGTGGGTAGCTTCCTGGCCAGGGATCGAACTTGTGCTGCAGTGGCTGCAGAGTGCTTCAGAGTGCTGAGACTTGACTCCTTGCGCCACCAGGGAGGCCCCCTTAGTTTCTTTTTATTAAAATGGAGATCATAATGTTTACCTTCTAGGTTGTAAGGGATGAAAAAGATTACTTTGAAATTTACAGTGAAATTAGTGAAAGACATGTCTGTCTGTATTAGTTTTCCTGTTGCTGTTATTTAGTGCAAACCCAGTGCCTGAAAACAACACACATCTCCTAGTTCTCAGCAGGTCACAAATTCAAAAGGGGTTTCACTTGGCCGAAATCAGGTGTGTCAGCTGGACAGTGTTGCTTCTAAAGGCTCTAGGGTAGAATCCATTTCCTTGTCTTTTCCAACTTCTAGAGGCCGCCTGTTTACCTTGGCTCATGACCCTCCTCCTCCACAGCTAGCAGCATGAAGCGTGCTCTTTCTCACCCTGATATTCTCTGGTTCTCTTTTCTCTTACCCTCTTCCATTTTTAAGGAGCTTGTGGTTGCAGTTGACCTACCTGGATATTCAAGATTAATTTCCCTATCACCGTAATTCCATTTACAACCTAATTCACCTTGTTCATGTAACCTAAATATGCACAGATGCCAGATTAGGAGGCAGATATCTTTGGAGACCCTGCCACAATGCCCTGTCTTCCTCTCTTTCTCTGCTCTCAGAACCCTCTTCCAGCAGGCTCACCCCCACCGTCCCTCCAGAGCCACTCTCCACATCATCAGCACAGTGCTCAGCGCCCACTCTTGGTCTTAGCCTGCCTGCAGCAGCAGCTGACACCAAGGCTGGTTTCTGCCTCTTCCTGGGCTCCCAGGATGCCACTCTCTCTTGATTCTCTTTACACCTTACTCACTGTTCCTGTTCGTTTATTTTGCTGCATTGTCCTCAGTCGGTTTTTCCATTTCTAAAAGTTAGGGTGCCAGAGCTCATTTTCTGAACCTCTTATTTTTTTTTAAAGATTTATTTATATGAGAACTGGAATACAGTCAGAGGTGCAGGAGGGTGAGAGAATTCACCAGAGGGAGCAGGGAACGGAACAGGGAGACGGACCAAATACACTGCTGAGGGGAGCAGTGGGCGAGGCAGGAGAGGTCTGTGGCGCCATGTGGGTCTTTTCCTGCCCGGCCCAGAATTGAACCCATGCTGCAGAGGCTGCGAACAGCTTCACAGCGCAGCACTCAACCCACTGCTCCACTGGGGAGGCCCTGAACCTCTTATCTACTTCTATGGTTTTAAGTGGATGCATTTTAAATGCTGTTTTATGCCTCTAGTTCATGTCTATAAACTAGTCATAGATCCAGCTGCCTACTTAATGTCTCTACTGAAAAGCTAAAAGATATCACAAATTTAATATTCTGCAAACCACACTCCCATGTCCCGCCTCCTCCTCCCTGTAAAGGTCTCACCATTCTTCTGCTTGTTCACCACAAAACCCCAATGGACTCTGGTTTATAGGAAAGCCACCTATTTAGTATATATTCTTTTTACATTCATTCTGGTATAACAACCAAATAATCCTTCTGTGATCCCATGAAACCTTTACCCAGGCCTCCAGTGACATTCTCTTAAATTCATATAAAAGCCAAAGTCTCTACACAGTCCCGAAGGTCCTGCAATCTGGGCCCTCTGCTGCCTTCTCACTTCCCCTCCTGCCGCTTCCTCCTCACTCACTACCCTGTAGCCGCACAGCCCTCCCCATCTCTCACACCTGCCTGGCACGTCCAGCTTCAAGACCCTGCACTTGCTCCCCTGAAGCCTGGAATCCTTTCCAGGTTGTCATGTGGCTGGCTCGCTCATTTCCTAAAGTTTCTCCTGAAATGTCACCTAGCAGCGCAAGGGGCCGCTAGTGGACCTGGATAGCAGAACAAGTAATTCTTTTTTTTTTTTTTTTTTTTTTTTTTTTAGATTTATTTATTTATTTATACAAGCACTGGGTAGAGTCAGAAGCGCGGGAGGGTGAGAGAATTCACCCTCAGAGCCAGAGGGAAGAGCAGAGCAGGTAGAAAGACCGAAGTACACTGCTGAGGGGAGCAGCGGGCGGCAGGAGAGGTCTGCGCGCCATGTGGGACCCTTACCCGGCTGCCGGGGATCGAACCGGCACTGCAGAAGCTGCGGGCACCTTTGCAACCCAGCGCTCAACTGCTGTGCCACCGGGGAGGCCCAGAACAAGTAATTCTTAACGTGGCCCTGCCTGCCCATTTCCATTTTCATTCCCTCTGTGGTCCCTACCCGCCCAACCCCGGGCTTATTTTCTTAGGTTTTTAATCTGAAATTTCTTTGTAGGGCCTGTGCTTTTAACCAGTGAGCCAGCTTCTTCCTGTGGCTGCGGGGGGAGGTGGCTCTCTGGGTTCCCTCTCCTCTGTGTGTTCACTATATAGGATGCTTCCCGTCTGGTTGAGGCTAAGATGCTATAGCTCAGGGCAGGTGTGACTTTTGTGCACTGCTTGGAGAGAAGAGGCTCACCTCATCTGGGTTATGTCTGCTTTTTAGGTTCCGGTGAAGGGTTACATGGCTTTTCATCTAGTCAAACATATACGGAGCCTCTTTTGTACAGTAGCTGCTTGGGTAGTTTAGGCTCTGGATGCACAAGATCAATATCGACCCTGTCTGGAAGCGGTCACACACTGTTGGGGGTGGGAACTGGCAGGTGAAATAATTTAGCACTGTGACCAACAGCCCATTATTGCATCTTTAATCCTCAGAATAATCCTATGAGATATAGGATTATATCTATAAAAATGTAGAAAATTGAGGCCATAGGGTGCTCAGTAATTTGCTGGAGCCCTACTCTTGACCCTTGAAGCATGGAAAGGGGGGTAGCAGGCTTCCCTGGCACAGGATGTCACCTGCCTGGTCAGACAGGGTAGTTTCAGGTGAGTCTGGTCTCGTCTTGTGAATAAAGCAGTGACTTCAGGTACTAAAAGCCTCTTCAGGAATGGGGTTCACAGTGAGAGGCTCAGTCAGTGAAACTAGACTAGCTGGATACCACAGGCGCCCGGCACACAGACAGCTTCTTGAATCACTACATAGAGGTTTCTAGAAAGGAGAACTGAAACTTAAAGCCTATATTTGTCTCTTTAAAACATAGAGACTGAGAGAATAGACTCCTCATTGACTCCCTTACCCCTTCTTTTTCTTCCTTTAGCCAGGTGACTTGCTCTACTTTCCCAGAGGGACCATCCATCAAGCGGACACTCCTCCGGGGCTGGCCCACTCCACGCATGTGACCATCAGCACCTACCAGAACACGTGAGCATTCTGCTTCCCAGCCTAGCCGTTGAGCTGTGGTTCACGGTGGCCTCATTAAAGAAGGGGTGGCCAGGGCCCCATTCTGCTGCTGCTCCCACGTGGGTTCAGGCTCCTCTGCTGACTTCATATCCTTTAGTGTCCTGGGGTGCTTCTGGGCTTCCTCTTAGGAGCATTCTGAGCCTGACTGTGGAACACTGAGAGTTGCCCAAATAAAGGCTCCCACAGTTTGGAAAGCGGACTGAAGTTGAGGGTGTTGGCTGTGAGACAGTGATGCCACTCTGGGCTCATCGTCTTCCACATTATTTTTTAAAAATTTTATTGTGAAATTGTACATAACAAAATGTGCCACTTTAACCATAAATTGCATTTATACTGTAACTTTCACCACCGTGTCCAGAATATTTTTATCACTCGAAACAAGCTCCATATACACTGAAACCTCTTGGTCTGTGTTAGGTTTTCCACATTTAACAGTTCACAAAATTCAGGTAGAAAGGCATTCTGGAACAGTGAGACCTAAAAGCATATGTGCTGAAAAACAATTGTAATTAAAATTATTTTCTAGGGTGCCTCCTCATGTCAGCACCTGGCGGCAGCGCCCTTTTACAGTAGCAGTGTCCTTGCTAATGCAAATTCCATTAAAAATACTAGTCATTAATTGTTGGAAATGCAAGCATTGTACCGCATTGGCTCCCTGTGAACTTACACTCTGGGAGTGGGGGTAGGAGGGAAGATTGTCAGGTAAATAGTTATTACCAATGTGGTAAATCCTGTCGTAGGTTTTATTGCACTAGGAGGAGACTCTCAGCGCACAGAGGAATGCACTTAGCTAAGCTGGGGAGTCTGGGAAGGTTTCGAAAGTGACACCCAACCTGAGTGAGACTTAAAGGGTGAGTAAGTGGAGGAAGGTCAGAAGGTCAGAATAGGAGAGGCCATTCCAGTCCAAGGGACAGCAAATCCCCTCCTACTTTCCAAGCTATTACTTGCAAAGCATGTAGTAAGCGATTCTCTGCTTCCTTATCTGGCTTTCCCATGTGACAGTAACCCCTGAGCTTCAGAGGTTTACTGGACAATCTAGCTGGAACGTGGTCTGAAGTTACTGCTCTTTGCTCACAAGTAGAAGGCCAAAGCTTGTGTTAGATTTCCTTCATGAGAAATGCCTTGTCACTGTGGCTAGTAACTAGTAACTCCTATAGCAAGGAACAGAAAGTCACTGAGCCTCATTCAGGAACAGCAGGGGTAGTTGGGAAGTCAGTTTAGGAACTAGAGAAGGGCCTGGCTACGGGGATGAATCTTGTAGTTCTGGATCTGACACAGTTCTTGCATGCGGAGCTTGGCAGCCACATTGTTCTCTCCCCATGAACGATCACATTAACACTTCTCAGCTCCTCCCTCAGTCCCCAATTCTCTTTTTCATTTCTCTTGCTGCCACCAGTTTGTTTTCTAATAATCAGTTTTCTAATAATCATTTTACTTTCTCATCTTCTATTTATTCATAACGGTGACTTATCATGAGCCCTCATTAGTTCTCTTACATTCCTCATTTCATTGAACCTCTTGGCTTTTGCTTCCCTAAGGACCTGACTGAACAGTTGTCCCCAGTCCCAAGAGTTGAGGATCTGGTGGGCTGTGGTAGAGCTGCCAGGTTAACAGAAGTTGCCTGGCTGTGGGTGGGCACCATGACTGATTAGTGTCAGACAGACTCTGTCCTGTGCCTTTGTCTGTAGTGCTAGAGCTCTGACAGGGTAGCTGTAACTTGAGGACCATTGCAGCCTGGAGATGCCCTGTGCCTTGGTCCTGGTGTTCCTTAAGGCATCGTGGCAAGGTCGGGCTCTGGGCTTTTTCTCATACCTCTAAGGGTAGCATTGTTGGAATTTGGGGCCTGCCCTGTGGGACAGCAGCAGGTTGATTGGTGGTTTGACTAACATGCACCCCTCGAGGTGTTATTTCCAAATTTTGGAGAGCTCCAAGAGCTATTCTGATTCGTAAATGTGTGTGAAGCTCTTTTACCTGCAGTTAATTTCCTCTTTGAGCTAGTGCTGCATGAATGATTTCCACCTGTGACCCCGCAGAGACAGTGCATGTTGGATGCTGCTGAGAGATCTGCACGTGTCCTCCGTGTTGAAGTTCAGTCAAAGATGGGAGGTTGTGTGTGATGTTAAGGTGCAGAATGGTGAGGCAGCCAGGTATTGGATGTCTTGGGAAAGTTTCTCTCAGGTGACTTTTGTCCTCCTTTGCTACTTTTCCAGGAGGGAAGCATCAAAATGTTCATTTTGCTTACTGAGAAACAAAAGCCATACTGTGAGTTTCCATCTTGCGCATAGCTGGCAGTTGGAATCCATTGGTCACAGAGCAGAATTTTTAATAGCTAACACATGTTTAAAGAGAACAGCTCCAGTGTCCGCCCCACATTGGCACACATTTAGGAGTGAGCCTGTTGTAAACGCCCCGAGAAAGCAAAGGTAATTGAACACTGATGCTCATACCTAGATGCTGTTTTCGGCTACTGGCTTCTACCTTCTACTGCAGTAAAGACATGCTCAAGTTTAGTAAGGTGCGTAATCAGTTGTGTGGAAATTGTTGATGTTGGCTATTTTACTTGAGGAACAGTGCCCCCCTTTTGTAAGTGACAGAGGAAAGTGTAATGTTTAACAGTTTTGATTATTACACATCCTGCACTCTGGTTACCTGAAGCATATTACTTTTGGACTTGTAGCACATAAATTTTTTTTAGGTCCTATGATGATTGACTTAAAATTTCTCACCAAGTTCTCATACACTTGATACATTGAAAACATCAAAAATGATCCCATTAACTCCCTCTTTATGACAGTGCACAATTTATTCTCTGGCACCTTTAATTTTAAGGGAAATCATGCATGAAGCCCTGCTTCTCACTTCCCGCACGAGTGTCTGGAATGGGGTGGGGGGGGATGCTCTGTGATTGATGAAGGTTTAAGTTTTTAATGGTTAATAATGTCAAATTCTTCTCAGAATGCCCAGGCTGCAGAGTTGACACGCAATTTGTAGCTTTTGGCTTTGCTGGTAGTATTTTGTATGTGTTCACTGCTTGCTTTCTGTATATGTTCCAGTTCATGGGGAGATTTCCTTCTGGACACCGTCTCGGGGCTTGTGTTTGATACGGCGAAGGAAGACGTGGAGTTACGGGCCGGCATACCCCGGCAGTTGCTCATGGTGAGTAGGAAAGGCAGTTGGGAAGGTGGGGAATAGCCACAGCACAGGCCCCCTGAAGCTGTGGCCCACTTTGTAGGGACCCAGGGTCCTTCTTCCCCAAGCCAGGCTGTCCTCTCCTGTGCAGACCTGCACAGCTGCATGGTTTGCAGGACAGAGTGCTGCTGCGCATTACGTTGCGTACACAGCTCTTTCTGTGTTTCATGCGGACAGGAGCAGCGTTGTGGGATGTTTGCTTACTAAATGATTGAATGACTAATGTAGCCTGAAGAATTGGAGATTCGGCATAATGAGATTACTGGAGGGAGATGCTGGCTTTTTCTGCCCATCTTGGGATTTTTACCTTTGACCAGCAAGCAAGCAGTAAGCACTGTTTAGCTGACTATGAAATGAGTGAATTAGCAGAGTTGGACCAAGTTTGCTTTCGTTGTCTGAAGTGGGCACCTTGGGACAGTGACTTGCTTTTCCAAACTCAGAACTGACACTATGCTGTTTGTTCCAGGGATACCCTTTTTATTTTTAATTTTTTGCAAACAGGCAACTTAAGATGAACAGTGGTGACAAGGAAATAGTGGGCTGTTGTTTTAAAGACCCCACTCTTCCTGCCCTGGGCGCACTGGATCTGCTCCTGCACTGGCTCTCATCGCTACACTCTAGTCTGGGGCCTGGGGCCTGAGGAGTAAGTTCTGTTGGAATCTGGGCCGGAACTCACTTCTGTGTTTGTAGCAGGCAGAAACCACAACTGTTGCAACAAGAAGATTAAGTGGTTTTCTGAGGATGCTTGCAGACCGGCTGGAGGGCACCAAAGAACTGCTTTCTGCGGACATGAAGAAGGATTTCATTGTGAACAGACTCCCGCCTTACCATGGAGGAAATGGAGCAGAGCTTTTAACACCAGGTGGAGATTGTGGTTTTTTTCCACATAGCTAGAGGCTGACACGGACTATTCTGAGGCTTTGCTGGATGGGTTTCCTCATTGGGCACATGGAAAGTATGAGCATAAAAATGGAATTAACTCAGGGATGGGTAAAATACAAGAATGCCTAAGGTTGTCACTGACCTTTCCCAAGTCCTAGATGGTTTGTGACAGGTTTAGACTGCACATTCCCTACTATGCTGCAGAATGAATGGTGGTGACAGAGTCCTGTTTCAGAAACCACGCTTGTAAATAGTCAGAAGTGGTCTGTTGACATCGCTACAGGAAAGACCATACCCCATTGGGAACTGTGGGCCTCTCAGTAAAGTGAAAGGGCGATTTTCATGAGGCTTCAAGGAAGTTAGACTTTGCTATAGATTTGGATACTTTCAGGACATAGGAGGGAGTCCTTGACTGGCTCTTCTCTAAATCTTAACTACTAGCAAGGAGGGATGAAATGAGGCTATAGACGGCAAAGATTAGCCAGGAGAGATGTTCCTGTTTTTTCCTGAGTTCTGGTAAGATTATGAAGTGATCTTGTTTTTGTCTTGATGTCTTACAGAAACAGAAGCCTTGTTTAATGTGGTGTTCTATGAAATTGTGTTTAATAGGAGAACACACACAGTTATGAGTCCTAGGCCACTCAGACTGCTTTTATTAGGGTTGAATGAGAGTATATTTACCAACTTTTAGGAAAGCTATCACCATTTGAGGATCCACTAAAAAAATCTGGAAGGTCCTTTCTAACATTGATACTGTACAGTTTTTAGTATCTTGGGAGTATATTGAGAGTTTGTATTGGTTTCCTTAATTGGAAACAGCACGTTTTCGCCAGTACATATTTTAATCTCTAGCAAAACAGTTTTTTCTGAGTATCAGCTTATGGCCCTCTTATCTAAAAGGTTTTCCTTGCCTTAGCCATTATGCTCCCTAAGTATATTTTCCCCAGCAAGACTACTCTGTCTGGAGGGGCTGCTTTTTCAGTAAGCTAAACCCAGCTTGGAAAAGAGTATCATTTTCTGGACCTTTATGTACACTCTGTGTGACCTACACAGACAAAGTTGCTATGGTCACGCAATTAGCGGAATGGTACAGGTTGAACTATCTTTGTTCCAGTGTCCACATCTAGAGCAAACAGCAGATAGAGGTGAGTTACCTGCAGAAGGCACCTTGTCCCCTGTATTGATAGCTACTTTTCTTTGATGGTATTGTCTGATATACTTATCAGCAGAATGAGCTTTAGAGGGATGTTCTCTATCCTTGAATATCACCATAAATGTCAAGATTTAGCTAACACTTGAGTTGGAGAGAATGCCCCACATTTGGATTTACCTGCAAACAAGTTGGGGTCTGCTGGTATCCTCTCTTAAAGACTGACTTTCTGTCTGGGTTTTCTAGCTGGACAGTTACCAAGACTGGACAGCACAGTGAGACTGCAGTTCAAAGACCACATCATCCTCACCCTGGGGCCGGACCAGGATCCATCTGTGAGTATCCAGACGGGAAGAGTTTTCCTCTCTCAGGTATTTGCATCATAAAGCCCACCCTTCTCACTTCATTCCATGGCTTTAGATCAGGTGATGTCCATATCTCACTGTTCTAGGTCCAAGTTTCCCTGCTTATTTGGCAGTGGAGTGCAGACCAATTATCCTACAGAACCTCCCTTCTGTCTAATCTTTGCTCCCCATCCTTACACATGCAACGCTATATAAAGAAAATCTGAGTTTTCTGTATATACCTTACCACCTAGTATAACAGTGCCCAAACTGGCTAACTGATCCTAGAATTAACTAGAAAACTTAGAGATTTTAACTTTAAATAAAACCCTTCAGGAGGTTGGGGGCACCCATGTCTCTATAATCAGGTTGTTTTTGCCATCAGGGGCTAGTTATTCTGAACAGCCAGTGTTTGACTCTTATTTAGGAATTGTCTGGTTGACACAATCAGGATCACATAGTTGATGTTTTCTGAAGAGGAATGTCGGGGGTTTTTTGCTGCCAAAAAACCCCCCAAAACCAGGTATGATTAAATCAGGTGTACTGTTTTGCCTTCAAAATTATTTACCACATACAAAATTATATATTGTGCAACTATACACCGGCGTAATGTTTTTGCCAATAGGTTTCTATATACGCTTTGTAAAATCATCCTAGTAACAAAGCCCTCAGTGTTGTTTTGATGACTTAATCTTACCTTAGCCCTTTTTTTAAAAAGGATGGGACTCGAGAAAAGATGGTTTACGTCTACCATTCCTTGAAGAATAGGAGAGAGATGCACATGATGGGAAATGAGGAAACAGAGGTTTGTTCCAGTCTAAACAAATGTCTTCCCTTTGATTTATGGGTAATGTCCTTTTTTATGACTGCAGTGTGGATTTAACATTTCACGCAACTGACAGCCCTTGAATGGGAGTGATATACATGCACCAAAAGGATGCTAGCTGGGACCTGTAATCTTGTGGGAAAGGTGTAATCACTGAAGTTTTGACGTTTCATTGGCAACCTCTATGAAAGTGCCACATTAAATAGGATTTGATTCGTTTTTTTTCTTTTTCAGTCTCATGGACTTCGCTTCTCTTTATCACATATGGATGCACTGAAACAGATTTGGAACACTTCAGCTATTTCTGTCAAGGACCTGAAACTTACTTCAGACGAGGAAAAGGAAAGCCTGGTATTAGCCCTCTGGACAGAATGTTTAATCCAAGTGATCTAGTGCCTAACATTTCATATATAGGCTTAAGTCAACACAAACTTTCCTTAGGTGAGTATTGGCTAGGTGGACTAAGTAACCCAGAAAGTGACAAAACTACTTTTTACAAGTTTATTTATTTAGTCCAGTGTGGTAGAAAAGGCACAACTCCAATAAATGTATCATTTAAATTTAAAGGATGTTAACCTGGATTTTTATCTTTGGGAGAAGCAATTTCTTTAAAACTGTAGAGGTGGTGAGGCTCTTCAAACAATTGACATGAAGAAAAAAATTTACTTTTTTTTTTTTACAATAAAAATATACATACCTTTGTTGTATACACAAGCCCATTCCATTAAATAATACTGCCACATTAATGAGAGGCACTTGCATCTATGGGCCTAAGGGAGTTTGACAGATTCCGCTTGAAGAAAGACAAAGGCGCCTGAGACTGAAGGGGGAAAAACCCAGTATTTACATGGAAAGACCAAGTTGCTATAAAAAATACTCAAGATAATGGGTCTTTGAGTTTAAACAGTTCAATGTTATTTTACATTCTAAAGTGCATATAGGTTGATAATTTTAAAACTATCACTGGGGAATTTAATCATTTTATATAAAAATAGAACAAATTTTTTGGCAAAAGTTGGAGGGTAAAGGATCAGTTGCCTAAATATGTTTAAAACCAACTCAGGAGGGAGAAATGCTTGTGAATTATATAGTTATGGTGGTGATTACTTGAAACTGAGTCAAAGATGCTATCCTACTTGATTTTGCTTTAAGAAAACCTGAGTTTTCTATCATTTTTCCACTTTCACTACTATGGGCAAGCCTCAAATACTTCACTTGAACTTTTGAAATCTCCCTTCAGGCGGATAAAGAATAACTTGACTATTCTTATATCAGAAACAATCTTTATAAAAATACTTTTTGAGAGCACAGCTGGAAAAATGTAAGATGGAATCTCAGCACCAGGTAGAATTCTTATTGCCCAGAATGGTTTTGTTGATTAGAGTATTAGGATAGCCTCAGGTTATTTGTGCTTTTCTAGTTCGAAGGTCCGAGCAAACAATGACCACAGAGCCTTTTCCCTAACAAAACTCAGCTCCCTCCTGGGGTCAGCTACAAGTATGAGTATTTCGGTGCTTCATTTACAAAAAGCCTTAATAGAGAACCTTTGAGGTTTAATACAGTAACTTATAGGAACATTTATTAAGATGTTTTCAGATATTGCTAAGAAATCGTTCATCTTTTTGAAAAAGTATGACTTGTAAGGAATTTTTATTTCCCTGTGTCTTGCATCTACTAGGATATTAAGAACTATGACAGTGTCACCAATGTCCTATAATGGCTATAGGAATAGGATTCACGTTTGATGGATAGAAGGAAAATGGCCTCAGGAAACTTGCTCACCAAAACTGGAGATCCGGCAGGAATAGAACCTTTCTCCCAGAAATCGTAATGCAATCTTCATAGGGACAGTGGATAAATAACTGGCAAGAGTATTTTGAGCTTTTACCATGGTTAAGAGCGACAGTCCTGGAGCAAAAGTTCATTCCGCTCTGTGATCCAGGAGTATGAGGACAAGAGGCTTCCTTCCCATGAAACACAAGGTTCCCTCCTCTGCTCTTTCTAGGGAGATTATGGATTCTCATAATATTTCAATGTCCCATTTCTGTGTGTCTTCTCCTTCCAGGGGCTGATTTACAATTACATGAGTCTTGTCATAATAATTTCCTCCTAAAACAGAAGTTGCAAAAGAAAAGGTCATTGTTAACTACTTCCAGTGTTCACCAGCTTTTGTTCAGCCTACTGTTTGTGTAGATTACTAAGTCATTTATGAAGTGTTCTGAAGTGGGAAACTGAGTTTAAATAGACTTAGCAATTATTCATCTCAGATTGAAAAACTGGGAGGTATAACAGATGATTGCATAAGCAGTGTGCTTCTCAGGAACAAAGCGCTGACAGTTCTGGCTGAATGACAGGTACAGTTTTTTTGTCTCTTCACCAGCAGTGGCTATGACTAAAGCCAATTAAAGCAACAGCCGTGAATAATGCTGGCCCCAGCGCTGTTAACTTCAAAAACAAGGTTCAGTGATACCTACCGTAAATTTTAACTGAGGACTTTTAAGGACTATAGCAATTCACAACACAAAGTTACAGATGCTTCTAAAAAACAGACATTTTATGGTAGTTGATTTCTTCAAGGTTAGAATTGTTCTGAAAGATCATGCAGCCAATGGAAGTTGTACAACTGTACTAATGAACAGAGACCTTAAAGAGTAACCTTTGACCTTTTTTTCTGCTTGTTCCATAATTGCTTTGCTTTCCAAAATGACTTAACTTTTTTCTAAGCATAATTATAGTTCTCGTATATAAGAATTTCTTTCACGTGGGAGAGGGAGGTTTGGCATTTTGGATGGTGTCTGGGACACAGAACACTGGGTTTCATCACAGGCCTACCTTTAACATCAAGGACCAGTTGATCACTGAGATAAGAGCTGATGGTTCCGTTTCTGTTCAGTCTCCACTTCTGCCTGCACTGCCCATGCTCAGTCCACAGGGCCACTTTAGCCCCAGGTGTGTCCCGGCCACCAATCACATCGAGACATGTGTCACTGGCCTGGAAAGGATTAAGAAACAAACTAGCAGTAAGTACTGTGTTTGAAGTGTGATAACCTTTTTTAAATCTTCCTTAATGGCAGTGGGAAGGAGATGATACAGAAGTTTGACTGAAATAGAGGTATTTGTTTTTTTAAAGGAAATCTGCATCAGACAACAGATGTTCAATGAACTAAATGTTAAATCCCTGTTTGCTTAGATGTGTTTGGGTGAGCTTGATTTCCTTCTAAAAACATTGAGTGACTTGCTACATTGAGATAATAAATTACTATAAATGCTTTTCATTTTTGAGGTGTGAGGAACAAGGTAGATGATCCATGGGTGATACATGGCTTAATTTTTTTTAAATTGGTGTTCTGTTCCCCCAGGACATCAAACATAATGGAGATACTTAAAACTTTCTCCAGTTTCTTCTACTTCGTTGTACATTTTAAAAATGAGAAGATTTGGAATAAGACAGACATGACTTTATATGGGCCAGTATAGAAACAAAAAAGGTAGCACAAAAGTACATGGCCCATCTAGATCCAATGACTTATTGCTGGTTTTTAAAAATCATTTGTGCATATTTGTAGTATGTGACTCAGTTCTTAAAAACTGGATTTTCTAAATCAAATTCTCTAAATCAATTTAACTTACATACTTTAGTAATACACGTATCAGTACTTATTTTATCATGCCATTACATTAGATTTGGCAAGATTCTGGTTTCCAAAGCGAGTATAGTGTGGTTGGTTACCTTGGATTTAAAGAGTCCTCGGCAGTAGTACCAGATCTGATTGTTCTTCCCACTGTAGGGAGAAATGCACACAGATGTTGCCCTGGTGTCAGCAACGTTTCCAGTAACAGTCAGATACTCATCCTGGGCTCGGTTCTTTATTCTAATGTACACTGCAGGCTGGCAGGGAGAAACAGAAAAAAAACTTTTGACTCTGGAAAAGTTTCCAAAGGAAAGCTTGGAGAGGACTTGAGAGGTGACGAAATTTAGTTTACTTGTCAGTTTCACTCACTGCCTTTAGCAAATATGTATAAATAAATATTTTTCTATTGACCAGTCCTTAGGCCAATGTAGACAAAGCTTTAAGCCTTACAGTCAGTATTATACTGTTCTGAAAAACATCCTTTTTTGAAAGGTTAAAAGGTATTTTGAGTCACTGGAACTCAGTCTGGCAGGGGGTGGTGAATAATTTCAATCCCCTGGTCCTGGAATATCATACTGGAAGTTGTAAAATAAAATACTAAATCTACTTACCTCTACTGATAAAAGCTAGTATTTACTGAAAGCTTACTATATGTTAAGCAGTGTGCTAAAGGGTTTCTGGACCATTGTAGTCTGAGAATTAACCAGAACTTCATTTTAAGTAGATTATGACCCTAATTTTATAAATAAGGTTAACCCAGTCTCTCTGCACCCAAACTCTCATCTTAGCCAGGAGGCTGTAGTGCACTACACCAGGAATAGAAGACTAACTTCAGAGGTGGCGATGTGAAGTAAGTTTATCAAACAGCACATGACTGAGGCTCCATGGAAACCAATCTCTAAGCCCTGGGTCTCAGGCCTCCAATCTTAATGTGACAGGACACCCGACATTCCCACCTATCAAGTGTGGCCACCCCAGTGAATCCTGCTAAGTAATGAGGAATGATTGGTTAGTTAGGCAACTTTCACTCAAACACAAAAGGAGACCATGGTTAAGACCACTAGCAGTTTTCTTACTGTTTTAAAACTTATATCAACATGAAGTCAGTTGAATTTTGTTAAATTATTGCCATGGTAAGGAAATAGACATGGAACATTTAAGCAAACTGAACACATTTTCTCTGATACTTAAAGTATGTCAAAAAGAATTCTTGGCAAATGTTCTAATGTTTCAGACCATGACTTCCACATTCATAATGCAACAGTGATATACTTAAATTTCTGTAATTTGGCTTGGTCTCCCACAACTATCATTATTTTTTTGAGGCTTCAGTGTATCATTACAATTTCCTTACCTTGAACATGTAAGAAAACACGTGTAACCTTCATAGAGGACAGAGGTTCAATCATGTTAGGACCAAACATCACAGTTTTTAAATCAACTCAAGTGAGGTACTAATTACCCTTATTATCACTTGCATGCCAACTCCTCTGTAATTATACTTAAAAACACTGATACACATTTTTAAGTGACTTAGTGACTTCCTAATTCCCAGCCTCAAAGAAGATCACATTTTAATTCTTAAGTTTCTAAACTAGAATATGATAAGTACCAACAGCCTTATCAGAAGGGAAATATGACCCATAATACTGTCAGAAACCTAGAAATCTTTTGCTGGGTTTCAAAGCTGTGGTCGAAATAAACAAGGAACGCTACTACTAAGATATTTTGAAATTAAATATTTAACTAAAATAAGAATCAGGCAGTTCTCTAAAGCACAATGCAACAATAACAATGTTCATTGTTAGAGAGGATGCAGTAACTATCTCAGCACACTGAACAACAGGCAGGGACATCCTTGCCCAGCAAGAAATCACCTTTCAGAAATGAGAATAGGATTCTTGGCATCCAACGTGACTTCTAAAATTTCTAACAAGAGAACTGAGCACTAGTAGAGAGAACTAAACTGAATCCCCACCTCGACCTGTCATCCCAGATGACGGGAGCGAGGAAGAAGCAAAATATGGAGATACAAAATGCTCCACCACCCCACCTGTGCACAGTCAGCTCGCCGATACTCAGTATTTGGCAGAGGAGCATCTCGGGTTCTCTTAGGGGACCCTGATGCCAGCTAGATGTTGTGTTGGGCCCTTTACATACATTATTTAACCCTTACAGTGATACAGAGAAATAAGCAACATGTCATTGCTCATCAGTGAGCGAACTTGAGGTGCCACGAAATGCAGTGGCTCACCTGCAGGAGTACTGCTACAAGTGGCAGAGCTAAGATTTGAACCAACAGAACCAGACGCGAGACAGCGTGTGTGTACAGGGCAACAAGGCCAATCAGGCGCATTTGTGTTGGCGCCCATCTATTCAGCACACCACGTGCCATAGCTGAATGTCAGGACCTCGGCATTTCTAAGTGCTGGTAGAGTCACTGTGCTACACTTAGCTCAGCATCTGAAAGATGAGTGTCAATGTTCATCTTATTTTGGAGGAAAGCAGGGTACGGTGGCTTAAGAACAAAGATTTTACAGCATAACAGACTGGGATTCAAAATCTGGTTCTGTCACTTGGATGATTTTGCCAACTTGCTTTATTTCTCTGAGGCTTCTTTTTCTAGCTGTAAAAAGAGACTATTAAGGCCTACCTTAAGTCTGGCTGAAATCGAGTGAAAACATCTTTGTAAGGGATTAGAGAGAATTGCAAATGGCGTATCCCTGACCTGAACAGCCTCGCCGCCCACCACTCCTTCTCTGACCAAGGCATTGCCTGTGGCTTTTTGCTGGTGACACTTTGTTTGGCATTTTGTTTCTGCTTTCAGTTGATCTTATTTTTCCCAACAAAAAATGTAAGCGTCAACGAGGAAGAAATCATGTGACGGCCTAATAAGACCCTTAAGCATAACACTGACCATTTATCTACTTACACATTCGTTTCTTCAAATAAATAGTCCCTGAGCCCCTACAACATGCCAGACATTGTGAAGGCGCAGGAGACAAAATACAGCCCCTGCTTTCCCAGGCCTTGCAGTGGAGCCCGGAAGAACCAGGTCTAATTTATAATTTAGATGGAGAGAGGATGAAAGAGGCATCTTTGAGGACCTGACAGTTAAGTTGGATAAGAGGGTTAAGAAAGAACTAGACCAGCCAGAACAAGGAAAGAACCGCCTAGCCAGGGCAGAGTCTATCAAGAGCCTAAGCAGGACAGTACTTGGTGCACGGCCAGGTGGAAAGGAAACTGGTGAGAGCAGAGGCTGGAGAAGCAGGAGCAGCTCACACAGGCCAGACTAAAGACTTCAGGTTGTATCCTAAGAGCAGTCGAAGCTGCTGATGACTGACAAGTAGTAGGAGTGTGATAAATACTATTTTAACTGAACTGTCAGGATCCATTATGGGTATGATGTAAGCAGGGGGGAAATCCAAACACTTAGGAAGTAAAGCTAATACCATCTCAGACTTCATTACTTTCCTTTGCTTTCCAGAGAACTTACAATAGTTTTTTTCATGGAAAGTCATAAGGTCAGAAGACTTTGGACTCAAAGCTAAAATCCAGTGTGGACCTTAGGTACAATTTTATGAACTGGATAAAATCTTTCAAGATTCTCTGTCCTAATCTGGTTCCCCCATAGTACAAATGGCAAACCAAACCAAACCATCAGTGTTTCGGAAGCTGTGGCTTATGACATTTCTACTAGAAAATAGAGCTGTTTTGGATCCTGTGGCCCTTTACTCCTTACCTGCTTCATAGGTCGGAGAGAACCAATGGTTTTCCATCCACTGAATGCTGACCAGTTTGGGATCTCATTAGCCTCAAGTAGAATTTGTCTTCCCAAGAAATTGGATCCCTCATAAGCAATCCAGCTGCATGACAGCAGGGAAGAAAAAAGTAGGATATGTAAAAACAAAATGCAATCTCTAATCAGAAACTTCTAATGTGATACAGTACAGGATTCTTTAAAAAACGCTTAGGTTTAGGGGGATTGAGGGAAGTCAAAACAGGCGGGAGCACAAGGGAATATGGTGATGGTTCACGGTGACATGGGAGCACTCTGGGACTGCAACTATGTAAGGAAATAAAAAAAATAAAAACGCTTAGGTTTGACCATTAACACATCCTTGATATCTGCCGCAAAACTGAGGTGCTGGAAGCGGGGAAGTCGGGGACCGATGGAGCACGGTGGAGGATTATTGGGCCTCTGGTGGTGGCCATTGTGAAAACATGCAGTTGTGGAGTTTTGAACCTTATAACCCCTAAAAACATACAATGATGTATACCAGCTTTAGTACATATAATGCGGGGGGGGGGGGTTGCAAAACCTAGCTTTGAGATTTTTGAGTAAAAAAATGTATAGTTCTATTTTTTTTACACTTGATCTTAGCCAAAAGGCCGAGAAGCGATATAGTTCTATTTTTTTTTTAACAGAAAACTCAGGGATGACTAGAGAACCCAGTAGACCGGGGCTCAGATTTAGATTCCAATCATGATTCTGGTTTCCTGACTTTCAAAACACAAGGCTTCTGCTGAAAAGTTCTTTGATACATTAAATCTTTTTCACACCAGTTTATATTCAAAGGCAGACCAGCATTCTTGCCCCGCCTTCCCCTCCCCCCACCCCAACTCTGTTCCCCAGTTGAAAAACACTAGTTGTCTTTCCCACTCAGGCTCCTCATCTGGGCCTCTCCAGATACTTCCATCTGCAACTTCACCAAGGCCACTGAGGACAAATTAAAATTATTCATAAAAATCTCCAACCTTTCTCTTATTTCAAGGCCCGGCTCCTTCACATATACTTCTCAGTACCCTGGCAGCCTTCAACTCTAGCCAGTTACAGAGTGTGCGGGGCCCTCAGGTGAGTTGGAAGTCTCAGGACTTAATGGAACAAGGTCACATCCATCCCTTTCAGGATTGACGTGGGCTGTTTTTTATAGTAATGACAAATTGAAGTTGCGACAGGATGGCTAACAAAATGAAAAGACCAGCTGGTCCTTTTCAGAAAAGATTTGCCACCACTTTCAGTGGCATGCCAGTTCGGTGGCTATAAGGCCGGCTGGCTGTGGAGGGTAAGCTGGAAGCACCTAGGGGATCCAAAAGCCTCGGCAGAGCTCACGGTCATCATAATCATGTTTTCTGAAAGTACCGCTGAAAAACAAGGTGGTGACCTGGCTTGGTTCAAAGCACCCTGTCCCCCCAAAACAAGATTGGGTTTGCCCAAATTGGGAAATGGAACGAGATGGATGAACGCTTTCCTCCTACCCCTTCCTGCCTGTGCAGATTTATGCCACTAGATTGATGTAGCATCAGGACAGCATGACCCTGGAGAGACTTACCCACCTCAGCAGCTTTGCAGATTCTTTAGGCAAGGAAGATTCCGTTATAAAATGTAGGGAAGATTTTAATAAACTATACCTCAATCTATATTGATCTAAATGAATTCCACAGTTGAAAAGCTGCGTGGAATGTGCCTTAAAGCATGACCTTCATTACCATCACACCTCAGAGATCGGGAATAATGAGCTGGGGGGAGGGAGAACAAACACAAGCAAATGAGCCTTGGCACTGAGGGTAGCTGACCGGGCACTCAATAGTATCCTTTGAGCCATCTGTAGCCGAGGAAACTTCAAACAGCCTTCACTACTTATCTGGACCAATTCTATTAGTCCAGGACCGTGAGCGCAGGTAGATAATAAACTAAGGAAATGTCAAGGTAAAATGGCACTGGTTTCTTTAAAAGAATGAAATAAATTTTCAGAGATGAGTCAATAACTATCATTTCTACTTAAGAATGTAAAGAAATGGGTAAGAATGCTATAACAAGTCATGTATCACAGGGATGTAGAATTCACTTTGAACAGGTTTAATTAAGTGGTAAATATACTGAAAGAGGATTTTTCTGCTTACAGAGATCAATTTATAGTTCGTAAACACCAAGCCATGTGCAATGCCTTTCTGAAGAATATTTAAACCACAATACTTGTAAATAAAACAGAAGCCACTTGGGCCTCCCCTGGTGGCGCAGAGGTTCAGCGGTTGAGTGGTTGAGCGCAGCCTCTGCGGCGCCTATTTGATCCCCGGCCACCGGTGAGGGTCCCACATGGCATGACAGACCTCTCCTGCCACACCCGCTGCTCCCCTCAGCAGTGTGCTTCGGTCCTTCTGCCTGCTCTGCTCCCCGCTCTGGCTCTGGTGAATTCTCTCACCCTCCCGCGCTTCTGACTGTACCCAGTGCTTGTATAAATAAATAAATAAATAAATCCTTTTAAAAAAGAAGAAAACAGAAGAGTGGAAAAAAAAGTAAAACAAGCCACTTATTTTAATAGTTGGCTTAATTTTCAAATCAATTTCTATTCTTGGCTTTCTCATTATCCCTAGTCAGGCAAATTGATTATCATATAATTTGTCATGAGAAATAAAAACAGTAATCTTTGTATTAATTACCAAAAGCTATGTGTTCTTTTAATTGGCTTGACACTGAACCACCAACCGTACAGGCTGAGATTCCACTCTTCAGAGCCTGACACACAGACCATCTAGAAGCATCACCACTTCAACTTTAGGGTCCTCACATGCAGGCCTGTGACCACTTCTGCAGTTGTGCAACTTCAATATGCACCTTCACACTTGACATCATTTTTCATCTTTTTCAAGTGGTCTCCCCAGCTTGTTAAAGTGCAGGCCCCACATAACCTGAATCCACCCCGACTAAATGAACAGCAACACGGAGAGGCAGGCTAGACCAGCCAGGATACTCTGCATGAAAGTGAGCACCCTGAGCAAGCAGGTCTAGAATAAACAAAATCAGAATACAATGAAACACTAATAGTCACTTGTCTTAAGCAGGCAACAGGTCTCAATGGTTTCGTTAGGTTTCCCCTATGTGGAAAGTGGGCTCAACTGGTTCCAGTCATGTGGCTGACCTCTGCCACATGCTCTGAACACATGGCACCCCCTTGCACACTACTGCATGCTGGACGTGGCCCCCAGTCTTGTCTCATTTAAACAGAAACTCACATGAAAAGAGAAACAGTAAAAGCGCCATCAGACCAAAAAAACCAGCAGCGATGGGAGAATAAAAAGCAGGTGGCAACACCAGGGAAGCCTCCTGTACTTACAGTCCACTTTTCACCCACACAGACTGGGTGTAGAAGTGCAGGTCCTTGTTCAAAACAGAGTTCACAGCCTCTTCTAGATGTAACTCTCTTCCCTCACAATGTTCCAAAGCAAAAAGGCTGATGGAGGGTTCTTCAAAAACCTAGCAGCCCAAAGAGAGAGAGAGAGAGAGAGACAGCATCACCACAGAGGGTAGCCAGACCTGAGTGATTTCAGTCATGACACAGGATATACCCAGAGCCACTGTATTCTCAAATGCATAGTTTACTGCTGTTCACCGCTAAAGATGTACAGTCAAAACTGCACTGGTAAGATTAGTCTAGTGATCATTTTTAGTCACATCTTTGTAAATTGAAATAATCAAAAAAGCAATCTTCATAATAAAAACAGACACTGGGTTGCAATCACGTTACAATCATGTTGTGCTTGCTGTAAAACCTATTTCAGTCCTACTGATGATTTTGGCTGGCAACAGTAAACACAGACCGGAATGGCATCTCATTTCACAGGAGGTTCAGGGGCAGTCACTGAGAATCAAGATTTTATAGCACTAGGCTCTTAAAACATTCCTAGGAGGTAGAATAAAGTATTTTTAATGTAACAAAAATTAAGCCAGAATGCACAGGGCCAGGGGATTTCTGCATAAAAAGTAAGTAGTAGGTGTCTGTACACCAATGTTTACTGCCACATTATTCACAATAGTCAGGATAAGCAAACAGCCCAAATGCTGATGAATGGATAAAAAAGACGGCGCCTATGCACAAAGGAGGAGTATTCAGCCGTGAGACAGAACAGCCTGCCATTTGTGACAACGTGGACGCACCTTGAGGATGGCAGACTAAATTACATAAGTCAGACACAGACAGGTACTGTATGGTATCACTTAGATGTGGCAACTGAAAAAGATAAACTTGTAAAAAACCCCAAAACAACAGTGAAATAATAGGTTACCAAAGGATAGCAGGTGGGGGAAAACACGGACTGATGGCAATGGAAGGTTATCAGCGTCAACGGTAGCTAAGCTACAGAGAAGTAATGTACAGAGTGTAGACGATACTGCTTCGTAGTGATGTAATGACAGACTGCTGCGCAATCACATTGCAGTAGATGTTTGAAAGTAATACTGTAACGTTAAATTCACACAATGAAATGTCAAATTTAACAACAAATATTGTAGTTACAAAGTGATTCTATTACAGAAATGACAAAAAAAAAAAAAATCCTCACCCTCCCATCCCTCCTGTCAGCCAAGAATCTAATCAGGACAGCTCTCTTGAGGAGAGCCTGGTGACGAGCAGGCGGGCAATGGGCTGGGCTGCGAGCATGCTGTTGCCATAGAGAGCGCGGGGAGCAGCGCAGGAAACAGGAAAGCAGAGCTGGGAAAAGCTGAATGACGGGAGATGCGAGGGATGGTCAGAAAAGTGAGTCACTGTTTCCCACAGTGCGGAACCTCCAACTGCAACTAGTCTGTGAGTGGAAGAATTACTTTGAAAAGGATAAACCATGATTTTGCTGAAATAAAAGGAAAGACAGAAAGAATGCCGAGAAACTTCTGGGTATTTTAAAAAGGTGAATGTGTAATGTTCTCTCTTTGGTAAAGGTTACCTGCTGATCAGGGAAGGTGTGCAGTGCTGGCCAATAGAAATTTCTACAGTGGCAGAAATGCATATCTGCACTGCTCATGCACCTGCTGAGCACTTTTTGAAACATGGCTTGTGTGATCAAGGGACTGAATTTGCGTTGTGTCATTTTAATTTATTTAACTTTAAGTAATGTGGGATGCTAAGGTACTAGTGCAGGTTTAAGGACAGGAGGAAGCTGGAAAAAATGTAGCCATCACTGTGCCCTCAGACGCTATGCTAACAGGTGCAAGGGCTACCTAGAGCATTCATTTTCCTTCAGTAAATGCTAGTGACTGTGCCAGATTTAGGAATTCATCTCTAGTCACTGAGTGTCTACAGGCGAGATTAGGCACCTCTCCTGCTACCTGCAAAAAAAAAAAAAAAAAATTGGCAGCATCCCAACAGGTTACAGAAGAAATTTCTTTAGCAGAGTCCAGAACCACTTAGGTTAGAAATGTAGCCAACAGCAAACACTAAATTACTCACTGAAACTGGTTGCAGAAATGAAGGGGTAAACAAAATCCACAGATGAGCCATTGACTTTATTGCTGGACGTTTCCCCAGCATTTTCACCCTCAAGCTTTTCAAAAGAAGCATTTCCGCTTACTTCTTTACACATCTAGCTGCTAGGTGACTAAATAGCAAGGCAGGCAGACAAGCCAGGAGCCTGGACAGGCCCACAGTCAACTCCCAGCAACATTCTTCCCAGTAAAGTGCTGTGGTGAGTGACAGCCACGCTTAAGGCATTTAATGTTGACTTGATGTAACTTTCAAATTCCAGAGGAAAAAGAAATTAAAAGTTTACTATTACACTAACTTAAATGCTAATCATTATTCTAACAAAAACAGGAGCAGTGTACACTTTTCCTTGTTGAAGACACTTGACAAAGACATTTTTTAAAAGGTTGCCCTTATTCAAATTCCAACAAATTCACTCTCAGATTCAAGGAGAATTCAAGGAGGACATTGCATCTAGGGATTTACCTCAAGGGACCAATGAAAAGATTGATGGAGAGGATCACAAAAACTTTTCAAAATGAATATGCAAGGGGACAGAGAAAAAGATAGTAGAAAAATGAGAGACTATCTTGACAAGTAAGGGTCAGTACACAGGTGCTGAGAAACCCAGCATGTAAATGGGAAAAGAACGTAAACAAACAGCATCAAATAAGAAATATGACTCATGCAGAGAAATAGCCCATGTTCCACCGACAATAATGGGCTGACATCATGTGGTCCGGTCTATCAAACTTTTAATTTGAGAACATTTATTATTACTAAGTTTGATGTTATTTACCCTAGAGACCTGCCATATATTTAATGTCATTTTTCTCTATTTAAATTATTTTAATAGTCTTAAACACAGGTAAATTTAAAAACATGTTTGATTTATAAATCTACTCAGAGGTTAGGGAGATTATATGGGTAAACAATTGATAATGAAAGCAGGATGGTGAAAGCGGTTAACAGGTAATCATTCAGAAATAAGGAGTGCTGTAGAATATCTTACCTATACTATTCAGATATATTTTCCAAACATGGAATTAAGGAGCTAAAAACTATCAATAGTCTTCCAAATTGAAGATGATAATGTGATCAGAACTTTCCAAGGAGAACAGAAAAACTACCGGAATTTAATTACAATTTGAACTCTACAAATGTCTTGCCTCAGTCCACATTAACTTAGAAGACAGCCAGGCATTTGGGGTCAAGGCTCTTCTAAGGTAACAGGACATTCCTGCTGGATCAAGTCTAAGCCACGCAGAGTTTCTAAAAGGAGAATGTGATTAAGAAAAAGAAAATTTGAACAAATTGGATAATTAAACTTACAATAAGAAAAAAATCTTGGCGCAGCACTGTGAAGCTGTCTGTAGCCTCTGCAGCATGGATTCAATTCCCAGCCAGCCAGGGAGATACCCACATGGCGCAGCAGACCTCTGCTATCTCTCCCGCTGCTCCCCTCAGCAGTGTATTTCTGTTGCCTGCCTGTTCTGCTCCCTGCTGTCTCTGGTGAATCCTCTCACCCTCCTGTGCCACTGACCTGTACCCCAGGTCTTGTATAAAAATAAAAAATTCTTTAAAAAAAGGAAAAAAAAGAAAAAAGACTCCTTGCTTCTCATCCTATCAACTTATATTTTTTTTTCAATGAGAACAAATACCAAATTCTTTTAACAAAAAGTGTTTCAAGCATTTCTCATCAAACTTTCTAATTTTTCAGAATATCTATGCATAATTCCAGAAATATTAAGGGGAATAAAATAGCTCAATTAAATCATGCTATCAACTTATGTTTTAAATGGCAGTAATGGCAGTAGCTAACATGTATAAAACTTTGTGTCAGACACACATATATGTGTATGTATATGTACATATGCAACCATCTACAATCCATTATTTATAATTTGAAATCCAAAAATCCCTAAACCCAAGTTTTTGTCCTAAGTCAACTTTGTTAACAAAATCTGACCTGAATATTTACTAAAGTTATTCAATTTATGTAGCTATGAATATGTTTTGCTATAGAAATATGAGCGTGTTTAATTAGTGAATTAGTGGGTCCTGCCTGGACCCTTCTGAAGATTTTTTTTAATAGGCCATAAACAAACCATATTACTGTTCAAAATGTGTAAATCCTAAAGCCCCAAACAGATTAGGGATTATAGAATTGTATTCACCCATTTATCCCTTTGACCTGGGTGCTATTATCACCCCTATTTTACAGGTAAAGTATCAAGTCATGGGTCTGGCACAGTGAGCGGGACTGCTAAAATGAGTCTACACAATATGGCCCTTGAAGTTACATTCTTTACGCCTATACCAGGGTTCCAAAATGTCCTAAGTACCAGCGATTTTATAACGCAGACTCTTTCTGAGCGGTGGACATGGAGCACCTGACTTCCTCTCGCTCAGCTGGGTGGTATCTTCCACCCCTGTTCTCACCTACCCGGCCGGCTTAGCAGATATGCTCATGATCTGACTTTGAAGCTCTGAGAAGCCAGTGCAAACACTCTGCTAGCAGACATTCCCATCAACACATCTTCTATATAATTGGATAAACACATCTGTATAATTGGATAAAAGTTTTAAATCTAAGTAGCTAACTTTTGACATTTTAACAACTGTACAGACTTGTACTTTGGCACTGTCTAGTTCTTTGTGTTTCAAAACACTGCTTATATGGAAAAGGTGTTGACAGTGCCTCAGGATTATGGTAATTGGTTAGTTCTAAAGATAACATACTTTTATTCTGAACCTCTCTAGCCATCAGCCACGGAGAACAGTGGTACTGTACACCCCAATCCAACAATATCACTTACCCCCATCACCATTAAATAAACCATGGCTAAAAACAACAACAAAAATAAAGTTAATAAAGTTAACTATGGTCAGAAGTTAACTATCTTTCTAACTGGTCTTTTAATTTTTTTCCTTTTTTAAGAGTTATGATACATTTCAAAAGGATGAAATAATATATAGATGAATATGTACCCAACTCCCCAAAGCAATACATTTTACTGTA